CTGTAGACACCGAGCAACCATCCTCTCTCTACTCCTAGGCTGCCTTTCACTAAAGCCATTCTTCTGATTACAGTGTTTCACTCTTCTTTCTGTTAACATTTCCAGGTAACTTTAAAACTGAGTCTCAGTGCCAGCACTACAAATTATTGAAGTGGTAACACTTCTACTTGTCTGCATTCACTTCTCAAAATATAAAAGGATGCATCATTGAAATGAATCAATGGAAAGGCTTCTCCTAGGCACTAGCACAAGAAATCAAGGACTAACAATTTCCAGAAGTTATTCCTCTTAGGTTCACAGAGTATGAACACAAACACTGGAAAAGAGGACAACTGCTTTGGGATGTTAGTTTTCACAGCAGCTGTAATCTATTATACTTAACTTTTTGTTGCTCTGACTTCTGAAGACCAGAGATTAGTGTGAAATACTGACCATAAGCACAGAATACATCTGCTAGTGCTATTAACAGAAGGCCTTAACTTATTCCCAGAGAAATAACGAGTTTAAAGTAAAATTATCTGGATGTTGAATTTTAACCCTCTCTTTTCCAGGTATTGCCTTGGTAAGGATAGGCCAGATATCTTGTAAGCAATTCATCTCTGTGGCCCTTTAAGTGACACTTTCTATTCATGCTTTGTCATTATTTTTGTAGGCTGTAAAAAGGCACGAAACTCTTACAGCCATCAACCTGGAGAAGAAAGCTCAATGGAAGGAAGAAGCTCAGAGTGCATCTGCTAAACCTTAGAGGAGAAAAGGAAGAAACCAAGAATGGGGAAAGAAAAGCTGATGTCCTTTTCAGCGAGTTGCATCTTTTTTGTGTTCAGCGTTTGTGTTCAAGAATGAATGCATTATGCTGTAGTCATTAAAAACAAACATCTGTTTTCTTCCTGATACCTTTCCTCCAAACACTTTTTCAATGCATTTAACTTTACTTCATTCATTAACTGTATTATAACTCATTACTTCAGTCATCCACTATTGCTGACTATTCCAGCTCCCTTCAGAAAGAATATTATATGGATTCCATATTTACAGGCTCCCTAAAACTTTCTGCATGAGAGAGCAAATATTAGGCAAGTCCTTGACATGAGAGTAATTGTATGAACTACATTAACACTGTCAAAATGACCAGAAGTTACTGGAAAGCTTGTTTACTTATTCTAGGTCCAATATATTCTCGCCTTCTTTTGCTAAAAAATGGGAGAGGGAATGATAGCGAAATAGCATTCTGCAGAAACAATGTGTTGTAAATAAGAACCACATTTTTTGACTTTTTTTTTTTTTTTTTTAAACACTGAGTTAGCAGTGAGGTAAGAGGAAATTAAAATTAAGAGAAGTATTTTAAAGAATACTGAGCATCAGCTTCAGCCTGTGCTATCCCGTTGTTTACTTAGAGGAACAGGAGAAAGTCAGTCAAGCATTTCTGCTCTCTGGTGCCAAGCTCTTTTTCAAAATTTATTTGGATTTATTTGCATATTTTCCCTTTAAATTGCCATCTGCGCTTTCATGATGCTAACCTCAAGTTTCAGAAGCAGACCCCCTTCCTAATAGCCCTGTTTCTGGCATCATGTCAGAAGAGTTGCATACTGTTTGTGCTAAAGAGCATTCAGCAGTTGGAGACCAGTATTTTTTCTTCCTCTCAGTACAGCAGACTGGGATCATCATGGATGTTCAGATGTATTTTCCCAGGACTCCCTGTTAAGTGGCTCCCAGGGACTCCAGAAACAGAAGAGGTATGCGTTTGACAGATGTAGTTTGTGAGTATTTTGCAAGCACAAGGCAGATAGTTTTTCCTGAAACTTTTCTTCCTTGTGCTACTGAAAATTAGCAACATTGCTGAAGAAATTAAAAGTCCTTCAAAAATGCAAAGGATTGTGATTTTTTGGTGCAGTATTTTGTACTGTTCTTGATAGCAAGCAAGCACTGCAGTCTATCTTTCTATGAATTGTATTTCTGGTTACCCCTCCTACTGCTGAGATGTACTCAATCAGATACAACATGCAGTCATTCCACAGAAGTCACAACCAGCAGGTGATGCCACGACCCATTATCATATTCTAAGACAATCACTGCAAGAATGTTGTCATGCAAGCAGACCAGGCTCTCATATTTTCCATTCAGTTAATACCTAGTGGAGGTCATAACTGCAGTTATGTGAACAGATCTTTCATGACAGCTTTTGTTCTTTGTTACACTACTAAGCATATAGGTGCCTGTGCTTACACTGAATAAAACCAAAGAGCAGAACATCAGCTTCACAGCAACCTGAAATAATGCCTGGAGAGAAATTTGTGATTTGATTTATGCTTGGTGATGACAGAACGTAGAACTATGCATCTCTCAGAAGTGTTCCACTTTCAATAAGCACCTCTGAATGCATTCTAACAGGTATCTCATCTATTTTTGTATATAAATCTTAGAAAGCAACTCACCAGAGCAGCAACATTGATCAGTTTTTCCATTTCAGACAGTATCTGTAACCTTTATGCCCTTTTTTAATCAAAAATTGAACTCTGGTCCAGTAGTCCAACTGAAGCTCCATGCAGTAGCAGTCATATCCTTCCCTTATAAGTCTGGTATCCCCACAATTTCTGCATCTACAAGAAAACCTGAATGTTGCTGCGCACATTTGTGTTTTCTTTCAGCTTCCACATAGGCTCAAAAAGCCTGAGCTTTATGCCACCCTCCAACTCACCCCCAACCAATGCAGGTTTTGGGTTTTGTTTTTTTTTTTTTTGCAAGTAGTTTGGTAACATAAACATTAATCTTTATGAGAGGAATAAAGAAACACTTAACTTTCACAGTGTGATAGCTTCCGTGAAAGCATTTCTGAACACAGACAAATGTTTAAGAAATATATGTATACATTAGACTGGCTGCTTAGGCAGTAATGTGCAGCTAACGAGAATACCCTGCACCACCTGGTTAGGTCATACCTTTAGCCTATGCTGTTTATAACACTTCATGATGAAAAAGAACATTAAGAACTTAGAACAACATTTCATTTTTTTCCTCCCCTTTAGCTTAGTCTGAAACACCATTTACTTTTATTCCAGAAAGTGAAATTACTAATTCCACACCATGCACCTTTTAACTGTACCTGTTCCATATATGTCTCAATCCAGTGCTCAATCTGCCAACTTGAATGCTGCCTCAGAAGACCATGCAGGAGCCCTAAGGACATTGTCACAGTAGTACAAAAAAAGATCTTACTTATTTTCCTACTAAGATTCAGATATCTAAAGATCTTAATGTTTCCTACCTAAAATAGACATAGCAAAGTACTAATCACATGTTGTGACAATTCCAGACGAAAAGAAACCATACTGGAAAACACAGGGAATTACTTAAAGCTTCTCAGAGATGCAAGTTGCCCAAAGGTACACCAGTAGTCCCAGAAATCCTCAGGGAAGCACAGTGACGCACAACCATGAGCATTGTCACTTTTGGAGCTGGGTGGGGGGGGCTGGTTCTTCAACAGTCTTAATGCTGCTCGTTATAGAAATGCAGGGTCAAGGACACCTGCTTTCCAGGGTCAGTGCCCTCCTCCTTCCCCTTAAGATTAAGAGACAGGACTTCAACCACCAGTATTTGGTAGCATCAAAGAACAGACACAGAAATAAAATAACAAGCTAGTCCCCAGGCAGCAGTTGCCTCAAATAATTGTTTTGCCTGTGTATTCCCAGAAGCCCCAGGCACTGGCCCTGCTTTAGTTACTGAAGTTTCAGCAACTTTCTGCCCTACCATCTTGCGTATCCTGAATGCAAGAGAGCAATCTTGCCTGCCATGTACCACTGGAAACTTCACCAACAGAGTGAACAGCAGCTTGTTCCTGTTTGCTACGTAACATGAAAGGAACTTCAAACCTTTTTAACAATTGTTGCTCCTAGTTTTTAGCATCCTTCTTTTAAGTCCTTATAGCAACACTGAGAATGTTCCTGTAAAAAGTTTCAACAAAGCTGAATATGAAGTTGACGTATTTCCCCCATTTCTACTCAAAGGTCTATTTTTATACCTATGAGAACTACGTTAGCCATACAGAATCATGCCAGGCAATCAATGGTCAAGTGGTAATGTAAGAGGATCCTCACATTTTTTCAGAAGCACTTATCTTCCAAAACAGAGTCTTTACATGGGGCCCGAATGTTATTTATTAGATGGGTATGTTACACCACGCATTTGGCTCTATCAAAATACAAACAGTTGGACTGCTCTTAGTTTACCAAGTAATTCTGATCAGTCTGTATCAGTAAGCTCTCCCTTTCATAATGCACAAGTCTGTACTCCCTTCCACGCTGATGTAATTTGCAGCCTTCGTTAGAAATTTTGTTTCTTTTCAAGTCATTAGTAAGACTAAATAAAGCAAAGACAAGAACTGGTTGCTGGAAGATCCTGATGAAAATACATTCAATTGAGCACCATTTAAAATCAAATTGAGACCTATGAGTTTAGCCACATTTTAATCCATTTAATGTGTGCCACATTGACTTCTGTATTGTTTTAGTTCTCAGTCAAAATATAATGCAGTACCAGTCAAATGCTTTACACAGTGTAAGTATATACAACAACAATATTACCTGTGTCAACCAAGCCTGTCACTTCAAACAAACATATCAAGTTTAAAGATTTATACTTATCTGCTCTGAATTCACATATCCACTGCAAAAGTAACAACACTGGCTAGGCTCCTTACACAGGAAGGCACACCATTCAGCTTAAATGGACTCATTTTTTAATTTGCTCATTTAGAGGCAATTGTCATTTTTCTCTTGGGGGCAGGGGAGGGAAATGCCAATGCACCACATTGTTTTCACTAGCCTGGAAGAGAAAACACTTATATATATAGATATATAGATATGTATATATATACACACTTACGCATGTGTGTATATATATATACACGTGTGTGTGTACATATGTATATATACACACAAGTGTATATATACACAGAATATACATATATGAATATACAGAATATATGCACACACACTTCGCTCAGATTTGTTTACAAAATATGTAGCATTTTTATACCATCCAATAAGAGGTAAATGATTTTAAACAAATCTTATAGAAATGACATGTTATTGGAAATTTACACGTAAAAAAATCCAGCACAAAAAAATCCAAAAGCTAAAACAAGATTTTGCTACTAATCAGTGCTTCTATCACCCTTCAAGAAAAGAGAAACACAGTTATTTATATGTGATGTAAAGGCAACATTGAGGGTTTTTGTTTTTAAATTAACCACCAAATTTAACCCCCTAAGATTACAAAGAATCAAAGTTCATTTACAGATCAAGTGCAGTAAACTAAATGTTCCTTCAGCACAAAGCAGCACTAGAAAATAACTGGGAGAGGGAAGGGGGAGGCCAACTGGCTTAGCTAGGGAGGCAGCAGGTGGCTTCTGCAGCAGCCACACAGGTCAGTCTCCATCCTGAAGCACAGACAGAACCAAAGATTGTATTTAAATAATGATGACGCAGAGTTGATGTGTTCAGGCCTTTGCCTAGCTTCTTTCAGCACTTTGACAAGCATTTTATATATTTGTATTATTCTGTATACAGTGGACTGTTTTTTGCTTTTGCAGTGGCTTGTCACTGAGAGGAGTCATAAGGAGGATCTTGCAGACAGTTCTGCCACTAACATTTACCACAGGTACATGACACTGCAGATATCAGAGGCATTTTTGAAATGTTTACACTGGACAAATGTGTGTTGCAAATGTTCCAAATGGCTTGAAAGAACATAGCCCATTGCTGGGGTTGAGGGAGGCAGACAGCCTGGAGAATCCATTGCCTTTACAGAAATGGAACTGCCACTTACAATCACATGGCATGTCCCCCTTTTTGAAGAGCTTGGTGTCAATGTCAGCTGAACTCAGTGAGGAGTGGCCGGCCTTTGCATCAGATGTCTGTGATCCAAGCATCTTGCGGAGCCAAGAACATGCTGCTAGCAGAAGGGCAGTCTACAGCTGTGGATGACAGCTGTCATGCAGTCAGCAATGCCTTACAGATGTCACCTGTAGGAATCAAGCATTCCATGCCAGTTCACCTGAAGTCCCATAAACAGCAGAAGAAATAATGAAATGAAAGGGCCAGGTGGATCTGGGTATAATATTGACTATCCTTTGAGCATAGAGTCATTTTAGTTCTTAAATATGAGGCTTGACCAGTAGGACTCTTTTAGGCAAGTTGGAAAGGAAGCTCTTGTCTTGTGAAAATGAAAAGGAGATCTAACACTCCCTGTGCTAAGTTTTACAAATTAAGATTTTGTGTTCAGAAGGTAATTTTTCAGAACTCAGTTCAAGTCAAGCTGTGTAAAAATGTTAAGAGGCAATAGAAATTTTTCAGCCATAACTTTACAACCAAGGACCAGACTTTGTAGCACAAAGTCAGGAAGGGCTGGATTTTAAGGTAGGCCTGGCCGGATTATACTGTGCTGGCAAGCAAAATGAGAGTAGTTTCTCCATTCTAAAAGCTATTTCAAAAAGTCATTTCTGGGGAGGTGGTAGGAGTGACCTATTCACAGGTTCCTTTTTGTGGATGGAAAGACTGAGAAGGTACGCAGATCTCCACAGTGGTCTGCAGTCCACATTGAGAGCTCAGTGTTGAGAAGGGGTAGGGCCACGTGTGTTCAGTATTCCTAAAAACCAGAAAACACATCTATTGGAGCTTGTTGTTGCAGGGGATAGAATACTTATTCCATTATTTGTAACAATCTATATTCCAATAGCTCCAGCTGGCACATACAGCGAAGGAGATACATTCCATATGAAGATTTAACGCAACTCACACAGCGATCCGAGGAGGCATCCAGAGAAAAGTATGGGAAATGAATTCAGCCACGTTCTCAGAAAGTCTGAAAGTCTCCCTGGAACTGCAGGCACACACTGCAGTAAATACATGAGAAAGGCAGCCTTACTTTGGATGCCAGGAGTGCGGGGGGCTAGTGGAGGTGGGATTCTTTTCCTGTAACAGGAGCAGGGAATATCTCAAAGTATAGAAATGTGCCTCAACCTCATGAAGATGACAGTGGAGAGGTTCAGAATCTAGAGAAGAAGTGTGATTCGGGCAACCCCTTGCCAAGAAGGGGGCATCCTGCCACAGAGAGCCGAAAGTTTTCCAGACGTATGTAAGAGAATGTGCACAAGGCAAGCAAATGAGCGCAAACAGGGTTATGGAAAACACTGAGAGAATCACTCCACAGGTGGCTTGTGGCTCGACAACAGGATTGGCTAGGTAGAGGAGCACACGGCACAGAGGCACCTCAGAGCTGGAAGCCTTCCATGGGAGCCTCACACTGCTGGAAGATGTACTGTTGCTGGCTGAGATCCACCTGTGGGGCAATGCTACTGTCTTCATCCTCTGTTCCAAAGTAGTGCTCAATCAGATCAAATGCCTTCTGATAAATCTCTTGATTCTCATGGCTCTGGAGGAACTCAATTTTGTCGAGGCCTGCAGAGAAAAGAAGTGTGCAAAGTTACAGCTTGGTGAAGCATTACAACTAATGATCATATTCAGTCTACTTTAAATATCACATTCCATCAATCTTTAGAAAAAGATCTGCACATTTCTGTGACATTAGGTGGCTAGGTAATCAGACATCTCTGTGGCCAGCTATATCTGTGCTAAAAGAGTGTATGCGTATATCAACGGGGAATTCATGCTTTGCCTCTCTACTGTATTGTCCTAGAAACAAGAAGAGGGGACAACCTCAGTCCAAGTGATCCAGAAGGGCAGGAATCCCCTGGGTCCTTCAGTCTAGCAATTTCAGTTGCTGTTAAAAGAACCAACACTCACCTGGACTCCTTCAGTCAGAATCTTTCAGAAACTTTTTATAATTTTTTTAAAAATAATTTTATTCCAAAATCAGAGTTAAAACTAACTGGTTTTACTGTGCAACTGGCACACATACAATGACTATATACCACAACTGAATTGACATGACATAAACACACCTTTATAGCCAAATTATATATGGATTGCTTGCCACTTCAGTATTTTTGAAAACATAAGGAAAGCCATGAGCTTATAGACAGGGAATGCAGAATGGCCCGATAGCACAGTGTGCTAAGAGAACAGAGGATTAAGACCTCACGAAGTGGAGAGCAAGCACACTTACTGTATTCTTTGTACTTAGCATATGGAAGAGAGAAGCCAGCAGTCTACAAAAAATGCATTAAGAAAAACCCCCCAGTACAGCAAGAGTGTTAAATGGTGAGCGACTTACAAGCTCTTCACCTGCAGTCTTCTGCTAAGATAACCTTATTTATGGCACGAAAAATGAAATTAAGTTGTTCTCAAAGATACTTAATTGTACTGAGAAACACTGCTGAGGTGGAGAAACAGATGTACCACACAGGACAGAAAATGTCCAGACTCAGCTGAGAGGGCCTTTTAACAAGAAAACTAACCTTAAAGAGTAGCAGTGACTCAGAATCAGGATGAAATGACTGCAGTAAACACCACAACAATATCAAAGCAAAGGCAAACCAGGAAATTGCTGCTGCTGGCAGAATTCTGCAAGGCAGCAGAGAGGGAAAGGATAGGCCTGAAAACTGTGCAACAGAACAGAGCTCCTAAAGTTTATCTGCTGTGGAAGGAACATACTACAGGCTGAATGATACCCAGAAGGCTTCCTCAATGTGAAAAAGACAGGAAAGACCATCTGCATACACTGTCTCAAGCTACAAGCAGAAAAAGAAAGTAAATGTTGAAGTACACTGGTGGATGGAAACTTGTCTAAGAACAGTTAACAGTGATAAGGAAATCAATTCAGTCTCATCTACTGAAAATCTAATGGATCCATGGTCATTGCTTTAAAACCTGCCATCCACAGACACTTTGCTCATACCGTATGCTTCCTCAATAAGAGCGCAGTAAGGATTAATGCCGGCGCCGCTGCGCTTGGATTCCTGCTCTCCAAGCCTCAAGATGTTCTCCAGCCCACTCAGTGCCACTTGCACAATCTTTGAGTCCATTACGGTAAGGAGGTCACAGAGTGGTTTGATGCATCCCAATTCCACTAAATATCTGAAAAACATTACAAACAATTAATCAGGTTCTATGCGAACTCATGGCAGATACTGTCATTTAAGCATTTAGTGTCAAGGACTAAGAACCAAAACAATCAGATGAAATATCAACTTGATCAGAGAAAAGAGAAAAAACTACAGACAGGTATCTGTATCTTACCAATTCTGCTAAAACACTGAAAATATCATATACACCTTCTGTCTATTTTACATATTTCTTTACGTATAATTTAATTTTCTAGCTTGTATTTATATACATCTTTACCTGTAAGTTTTAAATGAATATTATTAATATGAACTGCATTAATTTGTTACATAAGTATTTACTTCATACAAAATCGCATGTAAGCATAACATACTAGTATAAAAAACAGGCAGAACAATGCATGTGATGCCTCAGTTTGCCATTGCCTCAGGGGCTTGGCCATAGGTCTCTGAGCCATTCCTCTCCAGTCTTCTAACATTTTATTACATTCTGAAATGATCACTGTGAAATAAGTTTAAATTTTAATTTTTTTTCCACAAAAGAGAAATGGCTCAATTAATGAAATTAAACATTACAGTTGAAATTCTCATGTGGTTTCTCTATACAGGAATGAATGTCTCATTCACAACTCAATCCAAAAAGGACATCTCTGTAGACAAACACTGGAGGCACAAAATTGTACACAGTGCCTGTCTGTACCAACTCCTTATAGAAAAGTTTTCCAGTTTCTAAATTACTAATTTGACTCCTTGAACAAGAACTAGTTCACCCAATTGCACTGAAATATTTGTACTATTTCATACTTGATCTGTTCAGCAGAGCCCCCAGATGTTGCATTTGTGATTGCCCAAGCTGCTTCCTTCCTTGTTCGAAACTCAGCCGTTTGCAAAATATTTATAAGAGCTGGAAAGATATGAGCATCAATGACTGTCTGCAAAAAAGAAATTACATATCAGGGTTATAACTAGAATTAGAAACAAATTCCTAGTGCTGGCTCATTTAATGTCTATGCTCAGGATGACACATTAAACAATGAAGCAAACTTCTTAATGGACAAAAATCAGTTTATAGTTTTACATTCAAAACCCTGGGTTTTAGTTTTAGTTACATTCAAAAATCTCTGGGTAAATGATTATTCCAAATTGAACAGATCAGGTAAAACTACCTTCATATGTAATGTGCCACTTAATTATATTTTGACAGCAAGAGAATGCCATATTTCCCTAACTTTTCCAGATAGTGAACCACTCAGCTATTAAGTCAGTAAACCACTAAGTCATTAGGATTCCCTGAAAAGACAAAAAAAAGAGTTCATAAGCCTGTTTGTATGACACTCTATTTTGATTGGATTAGACAACAGGGCAAAGAAAAAACGTAATTTTAGAACTAAGAATTCTGCAAAGCAAGCAAACACCAGTATGTTCATTCCTGGAAAAAAGACAAAGCTACAGATGGTTTGATACGATGCCTAACTGCATAGCCTATCAAACTCATACAAGTCAAATAATATTTAGCAGCTCAAAGTTTCTAATAACTTCTGGAAAGAATGTTCTGCAGTAAAAGACAGATGAAAGCGCTTCAGTAATACACCCACAATAAAGATTTGGAAACACTTCCCCAAGGATCACTAGAAGAATCAGGAGCTTAGGGTACATTTTTAAACAACTGTTTTGTAAGCACATCATCATAGAATTGGTAACAGCAAATTCAAAGCCAAAGAGATTCTTTGCGAGGAGCTCCATAAAGTGGAACAGACTACATCCAGCATAAAGTTACAGACAGTTCTCTTTCTTTTACCCTTCCTGCTTATCTGGGCATCCATGCTGCATGAACTTGCAAATCCACATGTGCACAACTTTAATCAACAGTTCCATGAACAGTCTCCCTTACACAGCATGTCTGCTTCTGTAAAGGCAACCTGTGGGCCACAAGTAAAAACACTGCACCAGTTTGACAACCATCACAAAACACAACTTAAAGGAATTCAACAGAAAGCTCTGTTTGCTAGCACTGAAAGGTTTCTTATTTGCTTTAGATTTGGCGGAAAAAGTGCTATAAGATTGAGAAGATTCAACATAAATCCTTTTCCGCTTTCTGCACTGATAAAGGTACTAAGCACTACAATCTCCACAAGCCTGCTGCCAAACTCCACCTTCTGAAAGGACAGTAGCAGACACTAATAATGGAAGGTAAGAAACCCCGATACCGTGATTTCATAACCCTCAAGTATGTCTCCAGGATTCACTGATCAAAGTGCAACTTCTCCGGAATCTATAATAGCATATTTTGAAGGAAAGCCTTATTTAGCATAAGCTTCAGTGTGGTGGAAAAAATAAAACACTAATGAAGAAAATAAAGCATTAAAGGAAAAGTGCTTGTAGCATCTATTATTTTAAAGCCCGTGTCTCACAGCCTTTTCTACAGTGTTTTTTCTTGAACAAGAATACACAATCTAGCTCTGACATTTTACGTGGAAACAACATTTATTCTAGAAGTAGGTCACACTTTCCTCTCAAGTACATTTATTTACGTGATAACAGAGAAATACTGAACTACTGAAATAGATATCTTTATTCTCTTGAAGAAAAGCACACCTCAGGCAGAGCAAAACCCCTAAGGATTGTGGTACGATGAGATCCTACAACCAAAGATTTTAAAAGCGGTAACTTGAATGACTTTTTTCCCCTCTTACCACAGTCTGTGTCTGATATGGAAGTGTGCTGAAAACTCCAGTAATGTGGTGAGTACATAAAAAGTGCTCAAGCTCAATACAGCTCTTAGGTAAAATGAACTGTTAAGGGACTTCAGTTCAGTAACCGGTCCTTGAAAAAATCTAAGATGCTTTGGCCAATCATGAAAATAGGTGGGAAACTTCTTACTAGCTGTAAGGCTAAGGATACTTAAACATTCTTTCTGAGCAGATGATGGCACAATAACTTTCTTATTTACCTATCTTCTGAGTATGTCTGAAATTTATAAAGAAATTTGGTAACAGCAGGTCAACAGAACAAAAATTTAAAGAAACACTTCAAAAGAACACATCATTTTCAGCATCTCACATGGATTTGTTTAATCCAAATTACCATTGTGCTTGAACACAACAACAAACTATGTTAACAATCTGCTTTCAAAAGCAAACAAGAGCAGATGCACAGGAAAGTAAAAACTCTCCATATTTTTTCATCTTTTTAAACTTCCCAGTTGCAGCAGTGAGTTCTAGTTTGACTCATCTGAAGGAAACAATGTGCTCGTGTGTCCTGAAGACAGCACAGTCATTTCTCTGCTGTCTCTTTGATGACCTTGCTCAAAAGCCAGGAATAATCAGACCCTGCCTGTTCACCTTCTCAAATGCCACTCGTGTTTCTACAGCACTCTATCACAACTCCCTCCACTTAAACCTTACTCTATGTAGTTGCTCTTCACATGGAATCAATCTGACATTTGATAGTCTCCCTTAACATCCACGCCCCGTATACCTCCTGAAGATGGTTGTACACACAGTGCAACACTGAAGATTTATACTACAAATGAATTAGGAATTTTGTTTTGGTTTTATCCCTTTCCTTGGCATATAAAATAATTGTGTTTGATTTCAGGCTGCTACTATGCACTGAAACAGCATTTACAAGATATATTATCTGTCTGTTTTCAGCCCAATAGCTAATGCAGAGCCCATCCTTAAAACGATGAAATTAACACCAAAATTTATGCTCAACTGCATCCCTTCAGATACGCTGAAACCATTCTGACACACAACAGAATCTTGCAGAGAACTAAAATTGAATTTGAGACAAAATCTTAATTTTCAAATTTAATTTCAAACTGAATTGTAATACTCAGCCCTTTAACTAATCTGGCCCTCACTTTTAAAGAGTTTTTGTTGTGTCTTTTGTTTGTTTTTCTAAAGATGGCACTCGAATTCTGCAAACTTCCAATAACTGCTCACCTTAGAAACAGTCCACACTTTTTATTTCTTCTGATCAAGTTTCTTCACTTGATAATAGCTCGCTTTAAAGAACAGAGCTACACGGAAGTGAATTTTTAGAGTTTTATTACATCTGCATCAGTGTCAAATCTAACTACTTTATAGCCAATTAGGGAATAACTCTTCAGCAGTAGAGTATTATAAGTCAATACATGAACTGGACAGCACTAGCTGAATTTTCTCCTCTTCATTTGAGTTTCAACAAATAAATCGCTTATAGTACACAAAAATACACATATAGTATGCAAGCATCTACACATGATTCAGCACATGCACGTGAAAGCAACCAGGTCTTACAGTGTGACTGTGTTTTCCTGCTCCTGCAAGCTGTCTCAGTAACTTCAGCAATTCAAAGATTACAGTCACCACTCTATCTGGCAACTGTGAGTACAGTCCTACTCCTACATCCTCCTCCTTCAGGCTGGAAATTTTACAGGTTTCACAGTAATTTGTGATCCAGGAAACACTTGAGATCTCAGTTCTAAATGACTTTTATGTTGTTTACACAGACACTAAGCCCATCCACTCCAAATTGTTTGTAAAGTAAACTTCTAGATTGTTTACACAAGGTTGCTACCTCTTCTCAGGAAGAACCTGCAATGTAATAACAGTACTGTGTCGAGGCGTCTGCAGCTTTGAGTCTCTTCTACAAAAAAATACAGTAACATGAACTGCTGAGGTTTTCAGACAGAATAAATGGACGAAAGGTACTCTAGATCTACTGAATTCCATACAGCATGATATATGGATTTACCACACACAGAAGCTTAAAGTAGACTTTTATTGAAACACTAATCTAAAAATCTTTCATCTCAGTTTTGCTAGTCCTCAGACAAATATGACATTCTCAGCAATACCATATCTTGCTCCTAACTTTTTTTTTTTTTTTTAAGTCCTGCCACTACAAAAGGAACAAAGGTTTTAGACCATTTGTGCAAACTATGGCATGGCTCAATGTAATTTATACTTAAATAACTTCATAGTTTGCCTGTGTAAACAGCAACATTGTATGCAAACTACATTCTTCCTTTTCTACAGCCCCAGTCTTACTGCGGCCTTCACAAACAACTTCTAACAATTCTCAGCTTGCATCCTCACCCAACTGATAAAAATGCATTTCATTCAGTCTGTAAAACTGACACACAAGGTAGCATTTGCTACACTTCCCCACATCATATTTCAGCAAGGATAAGAAACTCCACAGAAAAATATGGCACAGATCCAGATGCTACCATGCACAGCCATACTCCATGTTCCAGATGTTCATATGAGAATTTAAGGCATATAAGAAAAAGAAGTGATAAGTTTTTTTTAACCTGCCAACAGAAGAGAACTCCTATGATGTCTTCACTGTCAGATACGGAAGGTTGTACCTGGTGTACTGCCTTTCATAGCTTTTCAACAGCTGCGAAGTTAGACAACATTTTCTGAGGCATCTGATAGCCTTTCATACCCTTCAGAAGGGTCGACAGTCAGGATTTAGCTTCAGTTGTGCAGTTCTCCTTCTGATTCCCAGGAAGATGTAGTTCCCCTTCTCCCTGACTGGGGAAGCTATCCACTGAAGTACAGCAAAGCTGTATACAAACTAGGAAATTAACAAACAAAAACTATACTTAGTGACAATCAAGACTGCATCAGGATATACACATCCAACCCAAACCTTAAAAGCACAGAAATAAAGAGGGGAAAGACTGCTGTACTCTATCACACTTTTCTGTTGCCTAAACACTGTTTGATAACACACTCTGAAAGGCTTTCACTTCCACCTTTGGAGGAGAAAAACACACAAATGCAAGCCTCCTGTGTTCTAAACGTTAAATACACCCAATACAGCACTTACTTCCACACACTTCATGCATGTTAACTTTCATTGCCTTAACACTAGAAACAGTTTACTGTGTTTGAGTGCAAATCTAATACAGTGATAGACTGTCGTCTTATCTTTTAGAAATGGCAGTGAAAGCCTTTGGAGTATGCTATCAAACAGCAGTATAGACAGTATGAAAGTGGAAATGAATATAGGAGTCCTTCCCTCTAACTTTATATTTCTATGTTTAAGAGTGGGTGGATGGAGGGAGTGTAATCCAATGCAATCTTAAGCACTAAATACAGCTTTGTCTGTTAATACTGGTTGGATAAAATACATATTAGATTTACTAAAATATTTCATTTTCTTCTTCTTGTTCAGAAGTGATTCTTAGATTGTGGTTTGAGCAATACCCAAAATTTCCATACTATTCTAACACACTTCTCTGGAGCAATAATCCACTCAAAAGAATAGATTATAAATCACAGTAATGTTGTTTACTATATAAAGCAGGTATTCAACTTTTGGGAAAAGCTGAAATTACAATTATTTGCTTTCTGGCTAAAGATTGCGCTTGTTCAAAGTCAGTACAGCAGAAACTGGAATAGATCTGGCTACAGTTTGCCACCTGCCATAGGAACTATCAAACAATTCAGAAGTACTGGGGAAGATGGAAAAGAAATTTAGTTTAGAGCAGCATCTAGTATTTCCTTCTATAAGGAAGATCAGTTCTCAAGAAGTGATATTTTAATTCATGGCAAAGTGTAAAGTTATCTTTAAAATTAATTTCTACAAAGTAAGAATAAAGCAACTCATATGAAACAGGTTCATCCATGCACTTATTTCAATTATATGTTCTTTACAAATGGGAATTATCCCTTGTCCTCACTGCTACTGAAATCAGACAAGGATTCTACTCTCCATTTTAGCATAGGATCATCTTCAAGAATCTTTACCAATCAGCATATTCCAACTTGCAAAAAATTATTATGAAGTGTTTTTCAGCTCAAACATTTACAATGATTGACACTGACTAGAAGTTACCTGAAGCAATATCTCAGAGAAGGAATTTTGTGAGAAAAGCAGACATAACAGCTCCAGATCTGATAGGAGGTTTCATTACACCTTAAACTTCACAAGACGAAATCTCCAGTCAAACTAGACTTAGAAGAATAAGAGCTTTTCTATAACCTTTTTACACATCTGTGATGATACTTTCAGCATATGATAATCACTGCAATTACACCTGTAGTTGCTAATTTGTATTTCCAAAAAAAAAAAATGGCCTCAAGTATTCCAGTCAAGCATGCTGTAAACATTCTGAAACAGCCCTTACTTTAGTTTTCCTCTAATAGGCCTCCTCTTGAGGAGTTTCAGAAATGCAAGCCTCAGGATAGATATTGTTTGCAAAATGCCACAATCACCTGGATAGTTATCTTCCACCCATGATCAGAATAACTACTTATTTCCATTTCAGTTTTATGGCTGACAGCATGGACTATATTGGCTATTCGCCTGAGACAGCCACTGTTTCACTATATAGTATTTGTTCAAAGTTCAAAGGCAGTTCAATTTGTCTGAGCAGGGAGAAATGGGTTATTAAAAAAGGAACTATCAATTTCACTTCTGAGAATTTTCTTCTCACATTTTTTTCACTGGAATTGGACGCAAATACTCAACATACAGCCTTCCAATATTGTCTGTGGCACAGTCTAAGGCAGGCTACGTTATGCTTAAATTTAAACACACTTTGTGATTTGCTTTACGCTGCATTTTCTTCATGATGCAAGAGTTCTGAGAAAACAAGCTTCCGTCCACACAACCACAAATATTTTTCTATGCATAGCTAAGGGTTCTTCTCTACTTTCCAAATGATCGCTTGCTAGAAACGAAGGTGCAATGTTAATGACTCATGGGATTACTTCTGCCATCACTACCTTCTCATCTCCCTTTCCCAAGACAGAAAGCAATTCTATCCTGTTCTCAGTAGAAAGGGAACCAACCTAAACAGGCAATAAGACACCTTGAAACATTCAAAAAAAAAAAACACTAAACACACAAAATATGTACCTAACAATTCTGTTTTGTTACATACGAGAGATTTTGTCAGATGAAGATACTACATTATCACTTCATTGGAAAAAAAAGTTGGGACAACAGTTTTAAAAGATAGAGTCTTATAAAAGCTGTAGTTAAGATTTCATCTAAATCCTTACTTTTGGATGTCTGAGCAGTATCTACCAGGTGTAAGACTGCTGTGCTAACAAGGACAGCCACTACTAATTGTTTCACTTGAACAGAATGATATGGAGCAATGAACGTAGAAGGCACAGAAGTTAATGAATTACTGAAATAGCTTCTAGGTGTACAAATTATCTCTAAAACTTGAAAATGAAAATAGAAATTCTGGCATTTTGAAAAAATGCTCTATTAGAGAACTTTTAATTTTTATTGATGCTTCAGATACTTGTTTCGTTACAGAATGACTTCTGTGAACACTTTCAATTCTCTCATGCTCTCTTTTCTCCATAGTTTGCAACATTCCTACATGATTATGCATTTTGAAGTACATCTCTGACAGACTTGAGAAAAACAAATGCATTGGGTTGGACTGTTCTGCAGAACTCCTAAGCTTAGAACTCTTAAGCCTCCCAGGAGAAGTAATAACCTAGATAGAAACAGAGAGGAGAAGCACTAAGGTAGTAACTGCATGGGTAAGGCATCCAAGAGATCCTTCACTGAAAGGAAAGGCAAAAACATTCTTTCCCTACTACAAGGAGTACTGACTACCTTCCTTGCAGTGCTAACTGTACAACAATTAAAAGTGCTGATACAGGAAGAAGCAGTGACACAGTAGCTCACTTTATACAGTTCATTTTCTTCAACATTCACCAAGTCCACAGATGTAATACATAAGCAGTAGCACAGCCAGAATCAAAATTTTTGGAGCTCTACCAAGGTTAGATGACATGACTATATCCTTTTTGCTTCAAAGAAAAATAAACCACAAAAACATCATCTTCAGTATTAAGAGTAAAATTTTGACTAAGAAAGATAACTACAACTGCAGGTTTCTTTGCCCTTGGTTCCACCTCCATTTTAGTCACATCCTTGAATCAGATTAGGAAGACCTACAGTGTCTCACCTTCTGTAAGGTTTGTTTTCTCTCTTCCTTGCTTTCTAAGACGAGTATCTCTAGATACATAGATAAAGTTAGGTAAATACCCACACTCAATTCTAAGCATCTTAGGAGAGACTGAAAAATCTTCCTGAAAAGTCTAATCCTTATTTTCTGTTCTTTCTGAGAGGTAGATGAAGATCTCATTTGAGTCAGCAGCTGAATGTGGTTTATGAAGAAGGTATAACTTAAGAGATCATAACGACCACCTGCAAAGCAGGTATTATACTTTTTTTTTTTAATAACAAATTTTCTACAGAAATAATTCTCTCACTTTGATGAAGAATCATAACACTTCGTGCTGACTCTGATGATACAGAATGAATAATCCAGAGATATCAGATATAAGACTAGTAAATGTTAGACTGCCTTACAAGGAAAAGTATACATTAGCAAAACTGACAAATGAAAAACATGGATATGGCCGAGTTTTTGTGCACCCATGCATTACTTCTGCCTGGTAGCAGTAGTAAAGCAGTAGTAAAAATATTTCTGATGTCTAATATTTCTGCTATCCATTTCTATTCCTTAAAGACCGGATGTCTTCAGTTGGACTTTCATGTGTCCTCAGCAATCTCCGAGAATGCTCTCTCAATCCCATGAGAAAAGCACTGAGAAATAGAACTTCAGATAAATTAAATTTGATTTATGTGAGGAAATTTTCATTCAGCTTGACGGTAACCTTGTATATTTCACCAAAATCTGTTTTTGCAACATTTTTTAAAAAGGTACAAGGCATTGTCCTTGAAGCAAAAATTCCCTTAGTTTAGTTGCTCTTAAAATTCCAGATCTAGGGAAAACAAAATCTATTTAGCAGGTTTTTCTCATTTTATAGTTTAAGAAAAAAATCTTCTCTTTAGAGAAGATGGTCAATTTTTTACACCACCTGGAACAAGTCCCAGGATTTCCTTGTGACAGCTGAACTTAAATCAAGACTGAGATGTGTGTTTTTGGTGGCTTACTGTAATGGCTAACACATAGGACTGAAGCTTCCAATTGTTATTCTGTGCTATTACATAACATGAAGGATTATAAAATTTGGTATAATCAAGAAAGACAAATCACAAAGTAAAAAGTTTAATATCCTCAATTACTGTTCAGATTAATAAAAAGCAATTTCAGATTTGGCTAGTGCACAACTGCCAGTACTAAGAATTAAAAGAGTATATAAATAGGAATAGAAAGTATTTTACAATGTAGTTCATTCATATCTGGCAGTGAAGTCAAGAAAAATCAGAAGTTATTTGATTCTCAAAGTTTGTAGCTTACTCATCTCCTAGTTGAGGATTTCTGTATCTTAAACACTGCCAAATGCATGAAGGGCTGTCTACCTCCCTCATAATCTGTTTAAATATTATAAAATTAAATATTCTAATTTGCATCTGAGAGATGATTGAAGCATTGAAATATTCTAATTTTGCACAGAGCCTACAACATACTTCTGCTTCCAAGTAATTATATAACCACATAACTGTGTACATACAACACAAAAAACAGTTTATCACCCAATGTCTTTTTCTAAGCCTGAAAGACAAAGATTACTGATCATAACTGAAAAGGTTACCTGGATCTGGGCTCTGTTTCCAGCTGTTATATTAGATATTGTCCAGCAGGCTTCCTTTTTGATAGATTCTTTAGGGCTGCTTAGCAAATGCAGTAAACTCTGCAGGGCAGAACAATTTAGAATGACCTGAACACAAAAGAAAAAAGAAAAGCACATCTCAGAGGAAATATAGGATAGAGAATCACCTGGAGTAAGGAATATAAAGTCTTCAAAAGCTAGAAAGCATATGCCATCAAGATATTCCTAAAATGCTTAAAAAAATGAAAAAGAGAAATAAGTATAAATGTTTGTATTTCACGTGGTAACAAGCCAAAAAAAAAAAAAAAAAAAAAAAAGAGTAGTTTAAGTAACATCAGATTTCACAGAAATAAAATGGCTTGGGTTGGAAGAGAACTTAAAGATCACCTAGTGCCAATGGCCCTGCCATAGGCAGAGTTGCCACCTACTAGGTCCAGTTACCCAGGGTCTCATCCAACCTGGCCTTGAACACTTTCGGATACGGGGCATCCACAGCTTCCCCAGGCAGTCTGCACTAGTGCCTCACCACCCTCTGAGTAAATAATTTCCTCCAACATAGAATCATAGAATCACCAGGGTCAACTGTCCACCTACCAACAATATTTCCCCACTAAACCACATCCCTTAGTACCACATCTAAACGTTTATTGAACACCTCCAGGTATAGTGACTCAACTATCTCCTTGGGCAGCTGGTTCCAGCACATGACCATTCTACTAGAGAAGAAATTTTTCCTAATATCCAACCTGAACCTCCCCTGCTGCAGCTTCATGCCATTCTCTCCACTCCTATGGCTAATGATGTGAGAGAAGAGGCCAACTCCCATCTCGCTGCAGCCTCCTTTCAGGCAGTTATAGACAGTAATGAGGTCTCCCCTGAGCCTCCTCTAGATTGAACAATCCCAGTTCCCTCAGCCACTCCCCATAAGACCTGTGCTTCAGATCCGCTACCATCTTTGTCGCCCTTCTCTGGACACGCTCAAGGGTCTCTATGTCCTTCTTGCAGTGAGGGGCCTAGAACTGTTTATAAGTTCCTTTTAAGCATCAGAAGGCCACAGCGCCTCCTTCTACTCAGGTTGAACAAGTCCAGCTCCTCAGCTTTTTTTATTTTTTTATTTTTTTTGCAGGATTTCTGATCTTGGAATCTGTGATCTCCCTTCTCTCTCTCCCCCTTTCTATCCCCCAACTCCTCCTTGGACTTTGGACATGTTCCTAAAATTTTTATTTAGCAAATTAAGCAGGGGGTACAAGAGTGGGGGAAGGTTATGGTTCAGCATTTATCAGATATCTGCTGGGACAAGATTCGAATTTTTTTTCTTCACATAAACTACTTACGTTTTTGGCCAACTCCAAGCACTGGCAATTATTAATTGTCAGAAATGAAATACAGTGGAAAATGTACTTTGAGGATGCATCACAGAAATAGAATATCCCACACTCAAAGGGATCTACAAGGATCAGTGAGTCCAACTCCCAGATACACACACACAGAATCCGCCAAAAAAATCAGACCATATGTCTGAAAACACTGTTCAAATGCTTCTTGAACTCTGGCAGCTTGGGGCCATGACCATTGCACTAAGGAGTATGTTTCAGTACCCAACCACCTTCTGGTGATGAACCATTTCCTGACATCCAAACTGAACTTCCCCTGTCCTTGTTTCATGCCTTTCTCCTTGGTCCTGTCACTGTCACCAGAGAGCAGAGATCAGTGCTGCCCCTTCGCTTCCCCTTGTGAGGAAGCTGTAAGGCTGTGTTGAGGTCTCCTCTTGGCCTCCTCTGCTCTGGGCTGATCAAACCACAGGACCTCAGCTGCTCCTCACATGTCGTCCCCTCCAGACCCTTCACTACCTTTGTAGCCCTCCTTTGGGCACTCTCCAATCATTCTGTGTCCTTTTAGTACTGTGATGCTCAAAACTGCACACATAGTGCTTGAGGAGGGGAAACACCAGTTCAGTGTAGAGTGGGACAATCACTTCCTTCAACTGGCTAGCAATGCCGTGTTGGTGCACTCCTGGATATGGTTCATATCCCTGGCTGCTTGGGCACATTGTTGACTCACATTCAACTTGCTTTTGGCCAAGACTCTCAAACGCCTTTCAGCAGGGCTGCTGTCCAGCATCTCATCCCCCAGTCTACATATAGCCAGGGTTGCATCTTCCCAGGTGCAGAATCCAGCACTTGCTCTTGTTGAACTTCATGTGATTGGTGATTATCCACTCCTCTGATTTGTCTAGATCTCTCTGCAAGGCCTCTCCACCCACAATGGAGTCAACAGCCCTCATTAATTATTGTCAGCCAACTTGTCCAAAACACCTCCTTGTCCCACATCTAAGTCATTTATGAAAACATTAAAGAGAACTGGTCCTAAAACTGAGGCCTGGGGAACCCTGCTAGTGACCGACCACCAGCTTGATGTAACACCATTTGTTATACTCCTTTGGGACTAACTCATCAGCCAATTGCTCACCCACCACATTATATTTTTGTTTAGCCCTCTGGCAGATATTTTGTCCAGAAGGATACTGTGAAAAACAGTATCAAAAGCTTTACTGAAATCCAAAAAGATAACATCAACTGGCCTCCCTTAGTCAACTAAATGGGTGACCGTCTCATAAAAGGATATTGTATTAGTTAAACAGGATCTTTCCCTCATGAACTTGTGGTGGTTCTGAACAGCAACCAAATTGTCCTTCAGGTGCTTTTCAGTTAACACCCAGCACAATTTTCTCCATAATTTTACAAAGCACTGAAGTGAGATTCACAGGCAGGCCTGTAATTACCAGGATCTTCTTTCTTGTCTTCCTTGAGAATGAGAACAACATTTGTCACCTTCCAGTCAACTGAGACCTTTCCAGATTTCCAAGATCACTGGAAATAGAGTGGTCTTAAAACAACACTGGTTAGCTGAGTACCCTGAGAGTTGATCCTTACTCATAGTCACAGTCCTCCAACTCAGAGCACCTGAGGTGCCACAGTCCATCATCAGATAGAGGCAAAGTACTCATTAGATGTCTGCTTTGTCTGGGCACCTTACAAACAAGGACATTCTCTTCAGGTCATGAACCAATGTTACCTCTGGTCCTCCTTTTATTATTAACATGTTAAAATATATATATACGTTGCCCCCTACAATATTGGTCAGCTTCAACTCTAATTCTGCTTCAATCACACAGATTTTCTCCCTACAAAGGCGAACAGTATCCCTGAAGTATTCCCATGTTGCTTGACGTTGCCTCCAGCAGCCATATAGATTATTTTTCTTGTCCAAGCTCTAAAAGATTACTTCTGTTCAGCCAAGCCAGACCTCTGCCCCATCTGCTTCACTTCCAGCATTTTAGGATTGCCGGTTTCGGTGCTCTCAGGAGATGGTCACTATGGCCAAGAAGGCCACCATCCACCACTTCACCCACAAACCTTCTCTATTCACAAGCAACAGATCTAAGAGGGCGCACAAACCTTTTTCAGGCAGCTGGCTTGTATGCTGTTCACATATTCAGAAACGCGTTTACTGTCAAAGCTGGGCTCTTCTTTCCCCCTCACAGATCTGTTTACAGATTTTTGTGCATCTTCTGAATCCCTCTTTGTCATGTGCCATAGTCTGCATGCAAGACTTTAATTTTCCTTAGAATTTTAGGAACACTTTGGTATGCTTCTCTAAAAAAAAAAAAAAACAAAAAAAAAAAACAAACCAAACACCTGCATGCAGCTAAGCAGTTGAAACATTGTCTTGAAGCGAAATCAAAGATTTCACTTTATCAAATGTAGTATTTAATTATCTGCCTTACACATGACTGAGTGATCCCCTATGGTTTTATTTATTAAAAAAAAAAAAAAAAAAAAGAAACAACAAACAGCTATTTTATGAAAACGTATCTCAAAAACAAGTCACTTAAGAAAAACAGAAGAATGCCTATAAGTGCAACTATACACTATGAATAAATAATAATATCTTAACCTCCTCCCCCAGTACTAGTTATAAAATACTCAAACAGTATCTTGCTGTTACTAAGTCATCTTCCTGTCTCATCTTGAATGTTGCAGTTCTGTGGCAGTAAATCAACACGCTAATATAAACCAATAATTATTGAACAAGCCTCACAGTTAGGAGCTTGGATTTTAACTTTAGCATAGTCTATGTGGAAGAAGTACTTTGCATGGGAAATCAGATACTACAAGTGAATTGTTTTTTTCCCAGCTCTTCATGCCATCTAAAATCCCCAGCTGCTACCACCATCACCTGGAAGCCCATCTCAACACTTCCACCACACACACCTTCCCATTTTCAGCTACCACCGCTTCCTGATCCTATTTCTGCCATCAGCTTTAATAACAGTTAACAGCCCACAACAGCAAGCCTGCCTGAGCCTGTGACTTCAATCCAATTTGCTTGTGCATTTGTCTGACAGCTCCACATCACACAGGCATGCTTTTCACGCATTTTAGTTTGTGAACAAGAGGTGGAGGCCAAAAGTCAGCAAAGCTTCAAAAGCAGCAGCCTACTCTGTACTTTTCTTTCACATATTACCAGATCCTGACAAAAGGATGTCAGAATACACAAAGAAATGGGAAAAGTTTAACAAAAGGTACAACAGATAAAGCTCATAATAGGATTTTCTGCTCTGCATGCAAAAAAGGCTGCCATCAGTTAGTGGACACAAATAACACGTATACATGGCATGGACTCTCTGTTCCCACCGATTACAAAAACTAATAGGAGCTGCCGCTTCTTGAAAAGTCTAAAAATCAATAGGTTGACAACTTTGTACCTCTAAGGCAACATATTGCTGGCTCCCAGTTTAATTCTAACACAACGGTGTGAGCCACTGCCTCTTACTTCTCCAAGCACACGCCCAGACTCTGTCACATATCATCCAAGATCTCACCACACCGTATTGGTACATTCGTCACAGACTGTCACAGGTACCAAATGCAACAGGCTGTCAACAGCCCCACCACATTACATCATTCAGTATAAAATTCAGCCTAAGAGGAAGACTGCTTTAAACAAAACAGAAAAGAAAAATTCAAAGAGTATTGCACAGCTATAAAAGAACTCCAGACACAGTAATACAAGAAGAAATAGCAGTTCAGGAAAAGAAAACTACTACATACAGCAATTAATGTCAATCTTTCATTTCAAACTTAAAAAGGAACAGGAAGAGGTACTTGTGAATAGGTTACATCAATATTAACAGAAAGGTGAACCAGGGTACAACACACAAAGAAGTGAATCCATACCTGGGTCTGGATATCATCTCCTGTGACAATGTTCCCAACAGCTCGTAAGGCAGGAGATACTACTTTATAGTCATTATGCCTAAAATTACCAAGATTGAGATGTTAACCATCTTGAATCATCTTCACCTTCACATCCTCAAGGAAGAAACATTTGCCAGGGAAAAATTTGCCAGCTAAGTCTGTCTTAGCTACCATTATCTGAACCAAATGACTTTTGATTTTAAACTAATGGCAACTCGTTCTAGAGTTCATAACTTTTAGGCCCTAAGATACCATTCAGCAACATAAAAACTAAAAATATGAGATTACTATAATACAAGTACACAGTATGCCACAGTACAGGCATCTTAGGGAGCAGAAAAATCAACTTCAAGGATGGAACATGCTTAACATAGCATGCACAAAGGCAGATAATGAGACAGAAGAACACTGGCAGAAGCGCTGCGTTTAACTCAAGCGCATCTTCATCCAGCCATTTAATCATATTCTATCATTAAATGTATTTGCACTGTATCTCCCCATTATCGTTATTAAAATCAGAACAGGAAAAGTAAATAATTTTTTCAGAAATTAGAGTACTTAATAAAAAGGTACTTTAAGTAATACATTCTATTCAATAATTCAGTAGGCTGCTTTTTCGAATAGCCTCTTGAATTTACATCATGGAAAACTATTGTTTCTTGTTCTTCTGTAAATTTTACAAAAAAGCAGTTGCTACATGTTGAAAAAACAGCACAGGAAAAGCTCCACTGTTCCTGTTACTTATGACAACAGAAAGGACTGATTAAAGACAGGATAAGTTATAAAATTCAGGTTGTTTTGGTTTTTAGAAAATAGAAAGATTAAGATGTATCTAATTGTGCTTTCTGATGTAAGAACCATGATTTTAGGGAAAGTAATACATTTATTCAGAACAAACTTCTTACATCAGCAATTCCACAAGTCTTCTGCAGACTCCTGCATCAATCACAGCCTGGATTTTATCGTTGGGGCCATCAGACAAATAGGACAAAGCCCAGCAGGCATCAGCTAATACATCTGTATCATTGACAAAGAGCAGCCAGGAGAGCACACTAAGACAAGGTGAAACCTGTAAAACATTAAAAGAGATGCACAAATTATGCAATCAAAAGGACTGGAATACTTATTAACATGTCAGTTAATTCTGTATGCATCATTACAAAACCACACACTAGCATCACAATCCTGAATACCTGGCAAACTTCAGACTTCAGCAGCACTGTGGTGTAGGGCTGCAACTACACTAGCAGAGAGGAACAAACCAGCAGAAAAGCACCTAGAATTCTTCAGCCTCTACAGTATCATCCATGCCTGGAAACTTAACCTCAAACATCTCCATCAAGACGTGCCATTTTTCACTAAAGAAGCCAAGATGCACAGTTTTGCTCTACTGCGTAATGACATTAACAAATAACCAGGAGGCAGCAATATCAAAACAATGGTTGTGAATGCCTGCCAAAAGAACAAGAAAACATTCAGAAGCTTAATTTGCAATAAGCACACCACTGTTTCAGAGAAATTCAGAAACATTTCTGCTATGCAGTTTAAGCTTAGCCATTCTTATTTCTCACTTGGAAATCTACACCTTACAACACATTTCCTTAGAATGAACACATTTCTTACCTTGGCAAAATCTGGAGGAGGATTTTTCCCTCTGCAGAGATTGGATAGAGCCCATACAGCATTTCGGGTCATAGTGATACGATTCTGTTTTGAAAGTAATCTAAAACAAACAAATCCCAAACTTCACTAATGCATATTCAAAGCCAGGCAACTTAGTATGGCTAGCTGTGATTCACACACATGAACTCAGGCCTACATTTTAACCGATGTCAGGGGAAAACATGCTAAAATCTTTTTTTTTTTTTTTTTTTTTAAAAAAAAAAAAAAAAAAAACAGATCCTGAGGAAAATTACATTTGACAGATAGATACTAACGTTCACATTAAATGTGTTAAACCTGGTATCCCAACAATAACCACCACACTATAAGAACGTTCATTTAACTTTCTAGAGACTGTTGTGGTAGATTTGCATGTCAATTCTCAGCCCATCAACACGTTTTTCTGTGTTAAGCTTTCTAGAACAGAATTTAACCTCAGAAAACACATATAATCACATTTAAGGCTGCCCAAATATTTACAGCAGCCTGATGGCAACCACAGCCCAGACTTCCTGTGCACTGTTGTTCATCCCTGCAGGAGTTTTGACCACTGTGTTCATGTAGGAAGAAATCTCTATAAACCATCCCAAACTGGTCTCTTTCTGAAGTTCTTACAAGATGACACACACACACCATATACAGGATTCAGCTTCTGCTGCATGAGACTCAGGAAGGACAATGGTGTAACATACTCTATCTTCATGATATCTGTGTGCTACAGGACTACCACATCAGCCAAAGCTGCTTCAGTCTCTGGTACATTGTGCATTTCTTTATCTGAGATTAATCCTAGCACTGCTGCTCGTTAGTTAAGTCAAATACAGCATGAAGTCTATATAGAGCACTTTCCGGACAGCTTAGAAAAAACTAGCCAAGAACTCCACAGAAAATTTTGATTATCAGAACATTCTCTCATCATGCCTTGGTCAAATACTGCAACAAGTTGTCCAGGGTGGTTATGAAATCTACCTCTGATGTTCCAAATTTGACTACGTAAGTGGCTGAGCAATTCTGATCACATCTGCTATGAAAAGAGGGTTTGACTAGACAACCTCCAGAGGTCGCTTCCAACTTAAATTACTCTACAATTCTCATTAGTTCCAGGCATCCACCCACTGTGTAGAACAAAATAGCTCCAGCTTAGCTGGTCTTAACACAATTCCTTTTTAGTCAGTTACAAAATAAGCCTAATTAGTCCACAAAAATAAATAATTATTTTTCAGGGCAAAACAAACTTCAGTCTTATCAGACACTTGAGTAATATTCTGAAGAATGTATTAAAACAGACTTACTGCAGTAAGGGAGGCAAAATATTACAGTCCAGTACATAGTCTCTGCACATTGTGCTGTCTCCAGCAATGTTGCCAAGAGCCCATACTGCCTGCAATAAAAACAGAATGGTAATTGTTTTCATTTGCACAATTCAAACCATTCAGTATGCGAATTAAAAATGGGAAATCATCTCTGTTCTCACCGTTTTATCCTGGACAATATACAAAAGGGGAATGCATTCTGGTTAAGAGTTGCAAATATACACCCAAGCTCATTACATGATTCAGGAATATTTACACAGGTCTAAGTACCCAAGCAGTCAACAGGTATGTCACCAAAGACTGCAGGCAGACAACCTTACTCTGTCCACAACAAGAGCTCCTCACCTTAGGCTCAGTACTGCACTAATTGTACATGCCCCCTGGTTCAAGTCCAGATGGTTCATAGCACACGTCAAGCAGGTTTGTATCTACCCAAAAATGTGTACAACAGCTCATATTAGTATTTCCTAGGAAGCCATAAAAGCATGCATTGTTTACACAGTCACATTAAGAACACTGATAACAAGAAAGATGGAAAAGATGATTTAAATACAAAATAAAGCAATATTCAAAATAAAAAAGTTCAGATGGACATTGTTATATTTTTTAAAAGAAAGCAAAACAGAACCAGTATTGACTATTTAAATATATGCACGACAAAATGCAAGGACAACTGTTTACTCCCCTGGGCGTCACTGTTACCCTAACCCTTCATTTTGAGGAATAAGATACAAAATAACAAAAGATAATTGAAAAAGCATGAAAACTATCTTCCATAATACCAGAATGAAAGAGTTCATTAACTTTGATTAAAACACTGAGGTCAAAAGTTTTTTTTTAATATCACTTTCTATTAGTGTGAGAACTGTAACTGAGAAGAATTTAAAGAAAACAGTCTGTACCAGCAGAATGTTTCACAGACATTTTATCATACAAGAAAGAGTATGAAACTGACATTTTGTATTTATTTTAAGTTAGCAGAAGGCTAAATGACAAATGAAATAGAATACCTTCTTATTAGGTAAGAACTATACCAAAAAAATCTACACAACCACTGGACCTATCATGAATAGAAGCAGTTAAAAGTTTCTAAAAAGCAGTAAGAGATGCTACTCCACAATATAAGGGACTTCTCTTCCAGCCTCTGAAGTCCTCCCCCCAGTCACTCTAAAGGCCCAAAAGATATTCTCTAAAAAATAAAAATAAAAATTAATACAGCTAAAACAAAATAAAATGTATTAAAAAAATCCATCCATACATATTTACCTACATTTTGTTATCTGCTAGGTACACAAAGGACTTACCCACAATAGTACAATAGATAGATCTATCAACTGATAGATCATAAGTCCCTAACCTACAAGTTGTTAGAGACTAGGAGACTACTCTGGGAAGGATTTGCTTTGTCCTCCTACTATTTTTTCCAGCTTTTGCTGTCAGCCACAGTTAGAATATCAAATCATACTCAGCTTTGCAGTGACCTTCATCACTACTAATTCCGTGTGTCCCTCTAAAGCTAATCAAGACAGCTTATCTTCCATTCCAATTGTTACTGTTTTACAACTGCTGCAACAACAGTATGTCTAAAATTGAAGTGTAATTTGGGTCTGGCAGCCTCATAGATTCAACATACAAAAGACAGCTAAAAGAAGAAAATTAACTTAAGAGACAGAACATATACCAGCTCCCCTAAAAATTCATTTGTATTAAAACTCTAAGAAGACATGCCTGTTGCTCACTGCAATGCTTTTACTTGTGCAGTAATGGGACTCCTTAGGCACAAATAAAAAATTTCATCTGGCCCTATCTATACAAATTTGTGAATCTTGGTAAAAACACTGATAGGAAGAAAGATGGCATCCTTGTGCAAAGATACAACCTCCTTTTCTGGACAGTCTTACACCTACTGGACAGCCTACCTTGGAGGCTGTATCTCACTGTCTGTGACCTTGCTTCTGTCATAGTAATACTTGATTTAATTTAACAACAGCAATAATCGCTTAATACAAATGTCTATTCTGACCTTGAAAGACAGACTGGTTTTCTAACTGCAAAGCTCTCAATCTCTCATTAGAAAGTCAAGCCAGAGAAGTCATCAAGCATCTTTGCTGTTTTCCTACTCTTGATTTTGAAGGGCAGAGAAGTCTCAGTAACCTGGTATCACAAGAGCTGGTAACAATGTTGGAAGAAATTCTAACACTAATGACTGGTAGCTCTGGATCGTACAAAAGACGAAAAGAAATTGAAGTATCTTTAGCCAAAGTACGCAGAGTTATGTTTAAATATTTTTCCTCGAGGAATCGTTTCAAGTTTTCTGATAAATAAGGAACATTAGTCAAGTTCATTCAAACTTCTCTCAGCAGACATTGCCATAAGCACAAATCTTTCTTGTGGTTTCCACAAAAACACAAGAACAGTGACAAGTATCTTCAGCTTTTCTGTCTGAATAATATTCAGTAATTTTCATTGATGACTTTCATGCAGTCATCAAGATGCAAAAATCTTGCTTACCTTTACATTATGGTTTCATTCCATACATCCCAAATCATAGAATTGCTCAGGTTGGAAAATACCTTAAAGATCATCAAGTCCAACCATGACAAAACCGTACTACTGTAACTCTAACAAGTCACCCCTAAATCAGGTTCCTGAGTACCACATCCAAACAGTTTTTAAACACATCCAAGGATGGTGACTCAATCACCTCCCTGGGGAGCCTATTCCCAGTGCTTAAAAACCCTTTCTGTAAAGAATTATTTCCTGATATTCAACCTAAACCTACCCTGGAACAACTTGAGGCCATTTCCCCTCGTCCTGTCACCTGTTACAAGTGAGAAGAGACCAGCTCCACTCTCACTGCAATTACCTTTCAGATATCGCAAAAGAGCAATAAGGTCTCCCCTCAGCCTCCTCTTCCCCAGACTTATCAGCCCCAGTTCCTTCAGTCACTCCTCATAGGACATATTCTCCAAGCCCTTCAACAAGCCTTGTGAAGCAAATGTTTGTTTGTTTTTTTAATCATCTTTTTTAGATAGCTGCCAAGGTTAAAGGATTTAATTCCAGTAATCTCAAGAGTTTACTATTTAAAATATCAAGCTTGAAAAAATAAAATTAATTTCAAAACTTTATTCGCACCAAAACTCAGAGATGAAAAGAACCTATAACTTTAAGGTCTGTACATTTTTAACCAATATCAAGTTGTGTATAAACTGAAAATACAAATGGTGCATGTCAACTGACAAATGTATATTTTTACAGAGCTGCATAATTTCCATATACTGCTAATGATCAAACATGGGTTTTTGCAAGTCTCCGCTTTATTTTACCTGTTATTAAACTCTAGAATTTTCACATGCAATACTGGACAATGTTAATAGTCAATAACAGTACAATGCTGGTTTTATAGAGTAATGTCGATCTATACGATGCATTCTGTGAATAATACATATGCTTTTTGACAACTCTTCCACTTTCCTCTGGACTTTGATAGCTCTCAGCCATGCATTTAAGTATTTGAATATTTAAATCAAGCCATAAGCCAACTACCAATAGCGCATTAAGTTTGTACCTCTCTGTGGAACAGAAACATTCTGAATTAAGAATCCACACTTTTCCACTTTCAGATGTTGACTTGCAAAACACATCTAACGCTGGGATGAAGGCAGCAAAAATTAGCCCTGCATACATACACAACTGGACTAGTGGACACAAGAAGAGATATCTGAGGGAGGAATCCTTAGAGATGATTTCTATTACATTCCAACACAGAAGAAACCTTCCTTTCAGCAGCCAGGTTGTTCCAACTTGATTACTAGCATCTCTTCCAATCAGACAGAAAGTATTTCATACTCATGCCTCAACTGGATTGCTGGTTTTTCTTGCCCTCATTTTGAATATAAGGACTTAAGTTAACAGGGGGTGCTGACGTATAAGCCAGAGAACAGACAGTAGATACCAGATTCATAGGTCACTTCTGTTAAATAAATGCTGTTTTAACAGCAATACAGATAGGAATGGAAGAACACTGAGGGAAAAACAAATTGTTGCTTTAGCTGGAATTAATAATCTAAAACCATTTCACATCTTTTTTTCCAACCGAAGAAACTGAAATTGTGACAGAGGCTACATCTCCATTATTTATAAAAAATTATTGATTACAATTATTGATTACTCTGTCCTCCCTGCTTTTCTCAACTTCTGTTATACAGCTGGAAACATCTGCAAAGGAGAGAACAGGGCAACAAATGTATGTTCCTGCCACTGGCTACCCTTCAGATACAGAGCAGAATGACACATCTGTAACTGTGAGATATGCAGGTTTTAAACCTGGAACGTAGAAATTTGTCCAGTTTTTGAAGGAAATTCTATGCATATCCAGAAAATTCAAAATAACACCCAGGTTTTAAATACTGCAGCGCACACAGGATAGAACTGCAGCTAAAACATTGCTGAAGCTATATCAATGTTAAGCATTTCTACAGGGCATTGATGAAATCCCTCAACATAAATAATTTCAGGATGGCTTTTCTAATTTTCAAGATGCGTTTTGGAAGGAAAAAAATGGGAGAAGCAGAAGAAGGTTAGAACATTTGCCATTAACTAAATTTAAATAACTGTATAACAGAAGTTGAGAAAAGCAGGGAGGTACAAAGATGTAATCAATAATTTTTTATAAATAATGGAGATGCAGCCTCTGTCACAATTTCAATTTCTTCAGTGGGAAAAAAAAAAAAGTGGCATGGTTTCAGATCACTAATTACCAGGAAATACCTGAGAAAGGCTGATATACAAAGCAAAAGCCGGTAGGAATGGCTGACACACCAGAAGACTGTGCTGCCATTGAGCAAGACCTGGATAGCCTGGAGCGCTGGGCAGAGAGGAACCACATGAGGTTTAAGTGCAGTCTTGCATCTACCACACATACCAGTACAGGCTGGGGGATGACCCACTGGAGAGGAGCTCCGCAGAGAGGGACCTGGGTGTCCTGGCGAACAACAGGTTAGCGATGAGCCAGCAGTGTGCCCTGATGGCCAAGAAGGCCAATGGCATCCCGGGGGTGTATAAAAAAAAAGCGTGACCAGAAGTCAAGGGAGGTGATCCTCCCTTTCTATTCTGCTCTGGTCAGGCCTCACCTGAAGTACTGTATCCAGTTCTGGGCTCCCCAGTACAAAAAAGACAGGGATCTCCTGGAAACAGTCCAACAGAGGGTCACAAAGACAATAAAGGGCCTGGAGCACCTCTCCTGTGAGGAAAGGCTGAGCTACCTGGGTTTGTTCAGCCCTGAGAAAAGATGACTGAGAGGGGATCTGATCAACATCTATAAATATCTAAGGTACAAACGGATGAAGCCAGACTCTTTGCAGCAGTATATGGTGATAAGACAAGGAGAAATGGCTACAAACTGAAGCACAGGAATTTCTGCACAAACGTGTTAAGAACTTCTTCACAAGGAGGATGACAGAGCACTGGAACAGGCTGCCCAGAGAGGTTGTGGATTCTTCTTTTCTGGAAATGAAATTCAAGACCTGCATGGATGCCTACATGCGCAGCCTGCAGTAAGGAGCCTGCTTTGGCAGGAGGCTTGGATTTGATGATCTCCAGAGGTCCCTCTCAACCCCTACAATTGTGTGCTCGTGTGAAAATGAAATAAAAGAGTTAAGGGATAGGATAATTAAATTTCAGCCGACTTAGCTTAATGGGAAACATCTTGGAAAAAGACAAGATACAATTTCATTAAAATACACATTGTTCAATGAAGATCCTCAGTCTCCTATAAAATCAACCATTTAGTACCACACCAAAAACTTGCATATGCAAAAAAAATTCCAACACATTAGATTAAGACAGGCTCAAAAGAAAGAACTGCTGAAAGAATCATAACGTAAACTGGTACGTGTTCCTGAGTCACTAATATGAGAAGATTTAAATAAAAAGTTCAAGACAAAAACTGTATAATGATTAGCCAGTATGTCAAATTGAAATAAAAAATACGAATGATTTTCAATTTATACTATGATACGTACTCAAAATTATATTACTTACATTTCCTTCCACAAAATTACTACACCACTTAGCACAAAGAATGATCTACGTAACACAACCTTCAGTGTTACTTTTTCTCTTTTACACTCTGTGTTATGTTAGTATGGCTAGATTCTGGCCCACGTGCTCTACACATGATTTTCTGTATTTTCTTGGGAAGTAACAATTTGTTGCAACTGCAGAAAGAGTTGCTTGCAAAATAATAATCTACACAGTACTACTGTGAAAAGATACAAATCACCAGAGCAGAATTACAGAGGAGAAAACTTATGGCTAAAATGATTAAATATCCTGCAATAGCCGAATTTCAGCCCAATACTTGGAATCGAATATGTTCAAATATGCATTGCCTACAACTACAAAACAAAATGCAATAACTCACATTGAGAATTCAAAAAAAAAAAAAAAAAAAAAGAACAAGTACCCCACTTACAAAAAACAGATCAATTTTTCAGCATTAGACACTAAGAGTAGATGCTTTTACCTCAAGCCTACAACAACCTTAATATGAATCTCTGCTTTTCTTCCATTCACTACAATATGAACCACCTTCAACAAACAGTGCCCTAGTGTGATAATTAAAAGCCTCCTTCACTACCCACTGATTTCTAACTAGGGCAACAATATGCTGAACAAGATGAGAGTCATTTGGATAAATACTCTAATTGTGTACTTAAAGCAATCCTGTAATATAGAAGTACGAGAGCTAACATTTATGTGCTTAATGCCTTCTATTTTTATTAGATATTACAGTGAAGCATTCATTTTTCTTCTTAAAAGCTGCCAGAAAAAAAGAAATTCAAGCTGGCCTGCATTAAACTGAAAATGAGCAGTCAGAACGTTGCAACTTCTACACCTGCAGCACATTACGTAAAGGCATAGGTAACATCACTGTGGTATATTTTCCTACATCAACATAGCTTACCACAAAACAATTTGCCACTGGTAGTTACAGACTTGCTGATAACAGACAAATCATGGACGCACTGTACATAAATGCATTTTCCAGTGGCTACAGTCAAGTCTACATGACTCCAGTATGAATTTAACCTGCCAGCAGTTTACTGGAGGCGAAGCAGGTGGAATACAGATAAACTGCTTATCTGTGATCCCTTAGCTCCTCTGTTAATTCACACACAGGGGCTGAAAGCAGCACAACTCCTTCTAAAGCAGGCTGGTTCTTCCTGCACACTTCTCTGAACATTACCAAGAATGACCTAACAACCTAATAAAAAAGTTCACTCTTACATAGGAGGTCGTGGGCTGTAAAATAATGCAGTATCCCGTACTACCTTTAGTATACCAATTATTCTTCAGGAATAGCACCTCAGAAGCGGTAGATGAATTCAGAAGATAATGCCATCAATTTCAACCTCCTCCAAAAAACAAACTCTAAAAAGCAGTTTGGACATCATATAGCTGAGTCTGGATAGATTTTTACATGGGCACAACATGACATCTCTCTGCTATTTTGGCAAGATTAATATCACATTTCTAATTTCTTCAAAAATAGACTCATTTCCTCAAATTAAAAAAAAAAAAAAACTTATATCCTTGAATACAATTTTCTGAGGCACCCAAACTCTCTTAAAAAGCTTTTGCCAAAATTATTCAGCATGAGAGAGGCCACTGAGAATGGAAAGTTGCAGAGTGGAAAGCTACAAGCAACTTGAAGAAATATGTCTTTCTTGTGGAAAACATTACACAGTCTTAAATACGAGTGGCTCATTCTGTGCCAGCTATAAGATAGAAAGGTAAGTTACATAAAGCGATTCAATGCTTATGAGTTGGACTCCTCCAATCATGCATCTCAATACAGCCAAATGCAAGGTCAGACATCTAGGAGAGAGAATAGAGGGCACACTTACAGGATGGAGAACTGAGCCCTGGAAGTCAGTGACTCTGAAAAGAACAACGAATCATATTGGATAATCAGCTTAACTTGAGCTCTCAGCAAGCTTCTGTGGAAAAGAGTCCTCAAAGACATCTTGAATATTCACGCAGGGAAGAATCAAGTAGAAATGAGTATTGGGTACTACCTCTGCAAACAGCATTGCTGGAACAGTACTACTTGTTATTTCACCATCACAAAAAGTTATTGAAACAAAGAAGTGTTCAGAAAAGGATCACCAAGAAAATTTAAAAAGCTAAAGAAATATCCATAGTAAGAATTCAGAGTTCAATTTCATTCGCTCAAGAAAAGATTAAGCTATCATCTGTAATTAACTATAAGAAAAAAAAAAACAGAGAGTTTACTGAGCAGACAGTGAAACAAGAGCTAACACCTGGGTCCAAAGCTAATCAAATTTGTATAGTAGAGGTACACACATTAAAGTTAGGATTATGCATTACAGAAAACGTGTTCATTAGCACGATTGATATTTTACCATCCTAAGTCTTCAAAGCAAGACTAGACATCTTTTTAAAATACAACCTTGTTCAAACACAACTTACTGCCCTGGAGCAGAAATTACTGAATCTGTATGAATCTAATGTTTGGTCTGTGCTTTACACTGATCTCTCTGGGCCTTAAAGAATATTAATTTACTTGTAAGAAAGGCATTCAAGTAGAATTTATGGACAGAGATTGCATTTATTCTTCTACTTCATCATTTATAAAAACCAGCTTAGTAAGTAACATTACTTCCCTATCTCTATAATTCAACATCCAACAGACCTACAGCACTCTTTATCGCACTTTTGCTTCCTTTTCCTTTATTTTTAGAGAACAACCTATAATTTCCACGCATGCTTTATTTTCAGGAGAATCCTGAAGACTTTCCACCTCTGAAGTATTTTTTTAAAACAAGGTTTCTTGAATTCCTCAGCAAGCAGATAAGTATTAATTCACTAAAGACCAAAACACACTACCACCTTGGCTGTGGTTAAATGTATCATTTCCAGAACAACTGAAAAACAGTACTTGCACCCTAACACATACTAGGGAGAAAAAGACTTATGCAGAACTGCCAGACACTACACTTCCTCTAAAGTCACAAGACTTTCTTATAGAATAGCCTTGTACTTTTATGTTAAGAAAAACAAAACCACCATTCTTAATCTTTACCTGTTCCTGTACATCTTCAAACTCTGAACTAAGCAGCTCTATGAAGATGGGAACAGCTCCTGCTTGGATCACTATTCGAGTCTGAAGGGAATTCCCCGAGGCAATATTTGTCAGCACCCAGGCAGCTTCAAACTGGAAAACAAAATACAGAAGAAAGTTCACCCGGAGCCTCCTGTGTCAGATTAAAAACAATGACAATGTATAGTAAAAATAGAAAGAACTGGTGAAGATAAAGCTACTAATTAAAACAGAAGCTGAAAAGCAAGAATCAGAGTTAAAAGTTATCATGACGACATGAACTCAGAATTTGCAAGAATTCCATACAGCAGCAAGATCAGATTCACTGTGGCTTCTCAAATCCTACTTTTGTCACACATTTACTATCTTTTGTCTGTTAAAGAAAAAAAAATTAAAAGGCTCATCTTAGTATTTGTTTGGTGTATTTGTTTGGTATATTCTTGAAGATTTTTGTCATCATCACGTAAGAAAAATTTAGTTATTTGTGTATGGCTTAAATGATCGTAGGGAAGAGTGCAGCTTTTTTAAACCTGAAAATCACTTAAGAAAAAAAATGTGTACAGGGCAATTCCAGACAAATATGGCCTTCCTATCACTGATATTAGTAATTCATTTTTTACTGGATATTCTGCTAACAATACAGTAGAAACCTACAGAATAAAGACATACAATTTCATGTTCACCAACACAGAGTAGCTTCCACATTCAATCCATCATACAAGTAATATCTGGGCAAAAAAAAATACTTCAGTATTTCCTGAATGAGTTGAAAGTGCCTTCCTTCCACAACTAGTCTGAAGTCAGGAATACCTAGAATGCAATGTCCGAAATTTTTGCTCATGCCACATCACTGGCAACAAGGACAGAATAAAAAAACATTAAACTGGACAGAATAAAAACCTACACCTACAGACTGTGAGCTGAGAAAACAGTGAGATAGATTTGGTAAGAAGAAGAACAATATATTTTCACAGCTTTGTTATAAACTCTTTAGGTCAAACCTACACATTTCAACATAAAGTGCTTCTTTGATGTTCTTTGCATATTAAAAAAAAAAAAAAAAATCAACAAAATGCATGTTGTACCAGTAAGGGCAGAAGAATTTGACTCAGCTTACAATTACTTTTAAAATATTTTAAACTAGAGAAATATCCTCCAGCTTCATTTTCCCTTCCTCATCTTCTGTCCACCAAACATTATTCAATTTTTCCCTTTATCTTTGGCTTCCATGCTAGAAATCCTGTAAACAATAAAGGCATCTTTTTTTTTTTTTTTTTTTTTTTTTAAATAGAGATTGCTTAAAACCTTTCCATTGGAGTTCAGAACCAACAACCTGGCTAAATCTGAAACACACCCTTAGTTACTGTGCATATACTGTTCAAAAGCAGCTAGCAGATGTTTGCAATTTTACTGGCCTCAATTTGGAAAGTAATTCCAATAAATTCTGTCTTTTCCCTACGACAAGGAAAAAGTCCTTTTTGCGTATTTCCATGCACCAAATTTTGGATTTCACAAGGCATTAACAAATTATTGCATTACATACTATGTAGAAACATCATCTTAGCTTATATATCACATTTAGCCATTAATTATTAACATTTTCTTTCATTATCAGATCAACTTCCTTCCACCTTATACTAGCCCAGAAGAAAGATCGCCAGGCAAAGGATAGCTAGCTAAAAGATTTAATTGTAAGGACTAAGTCCAAAACACATTAATTAAAATTGCAGCAGATATGATTTCGTTCTTCCAACCAAAGCAAGCAAGTTTCAGGGTTTCTCTGTTTTGTTTTTTCATAATGTTCAACTCTAATTCTAAACCTCTTAGAATTTAATCAAAACTTTGTCATAATTCTGAACACTGAAAACAGTCTTCAGTTAGTACAAAAGCTGACAAACAGTACAGTTAAGTTTAATAGCTTTTCATCCTTTAAGGCCACCTTTCAAACTGTTTTTGTTACACGGAGAAGTCCAGGTAAACATCCCATGTTAAACACCACCCAACAAAACTCAGATTTCTCTCATTCTCTCCTAGGCCTAGCAATTGAGCTTATTATTAAGAAGCCTTCATAGTAAAATAGGTAAAATAAATGCCTTATCCTTATAAAGAAAAAGAAAAGCACAGCTCACAAAAAAAAAAAAAGTGATGACATTTTCTGTCTTATTTGCATCACCAAAAGCTTCATAATACAGAAAGCTAGATACATTTATGTTTGTATACCTGTAATGTGCAGTTTTCTTTCCGTTTGAGGAACTCCACAAATCTTGCCACCACGCCTGGTGTGCTTATGACTTCATCTATTGGAGGATTTGGTTCTATTTAAAACAAAATGGAAAGTTAAGACGCATTCATTTATTTGTCGGGGGAATTTCCTAAAATAACAGCACCAAAGTATTACCCAATGAAATGCTGATTTTTCTGAGAGTCTTATGTTCTGTTATACTTCGTCTACCTTTTCCACTAAAAGGCAATGAATTCATCAAAAGGAAGACTCAATTTTAAATTCTGAAGTATTGCTGTAACACGATTTAACAGTAATGCACTCATTAACCTGAGTATAAAAACTTGACAGCAGAAGATCTGCAAAGTCACCTCGGTGCACATATGCACACAGGTCAACTTCCAAAAAGAAAGAATAATTTGTGAGCCATGGAGACACTGACTAAAATGCTTAAATGTACATTACATACCAGAAATTGCACCTACATCATTAAAAGCTGTACATGTTTCACAAACAGAAGTGACTGTTAGATACACCTAGTTGGCACACTGCAAGACAATTCTGCTTGGACCAGAAATTTCCACATGGAACTTGATTTACACTGCTGTTAAAGTCAAAATACATGCCAAGGACCACCCAAGATTTTTCTAGAAGAAAAGTCAGCCCTTACCTTTAGAAAGAAGCTTTCGGAATTTCTGAGTAGCTGACAGCTGCTGTTCTGGACTATTGGAGAAAATCATCTCGATCATATCAGAGGTGATAACAGCACTCTAGTATTCAGGTGGGGGGAGACAGAACAAGAGTGGCAGAGAGCAAGAGGAAAAGAAAATTGAGAGTTATTGGGGAAAGTTTATAATACTTGCTAAAACTGTGTCAATATTTTACCCTTATAGAGCAAAAGGTCATATAAGAATAACAACAACTGGGTCATCACTGATTCTGCTTATGTAGCTGTGCATCTTTCTTAAGTATTGTCTTTTTCCTAGCAGACAAAATTCAGAATTTTTTTAAGCTAAGATAAAAAATTGTCTTCAGAAACTCTCACAGGTATTTTCTCTCCTTTTTTCCTATCTCCCATCCTATAAAATAACTATAAAATTGCCAGCTTTAACAAAAGGTAGCTTAAATTAGAATAGCAATTACAGTTACACAAGAATACTGATTAAAGGTGTTGTTTAGACACCTGCAACATCTATGTTTTAGGTTACTCTTATAACAAAATATACAAGAACTGTTTTTCTTTTTAAGCACTGACAAACCTAATGCTTGTTATCATAATCAAATATAGCATTTATTTTCTCACAATACAGACAGTTTCCATTAATATGGCTAAACTAATCAGTAACATTTTTTCACGACAGGGAAAATCTGACATTGTTTCATTTGACTAATCTAAATCCATGAAAAGACATCTAAATGATGTTGTATTTTTTTCCTCTCTTTTTGATCCAAAACATTACAGTGGTCAGATCCAAATCCTCAATAAACAGGAAAACAGACAATAGTGCTGAAATATTTACACTGTCTGTACTTGTGCTCTCAGTAACAAAATGCAGGCAGTCTAGATTTTTGTCACCAGAACCAATAAAAGGGGATCAAAACATGCACCACTTTTTAGATCCTTCTTTTTCAGTACTAACTCTTAAGACACTCAAATTAATACTTAAAATAGTAACCTGTATGTATAAAATAGGCTTTCCTTACTTTTCACTGTCCCTTTATTTCATATAAAGTTCTACACAAAGAATTAAACAGTATTTAGGATTCATCTGATGTTTTAGGACTACCTTGAAGAATAACCTATTCTCCATTAGTTAACTTTAACGTTGTTTATAGGCATTTCTGAGTAATTTTCATTGCCTAACCATCAGTAGAAATTAAAAGTAGTCTGATTTCCTTCAAAATATACTCTGAACACAAGAACAAGCATGAAGATCAATGGTCAGACTTCAGGACTCTGTGAAGACTGTATTTTAATTTATTCTCTCTGCTATAGCTGGAGTCCCATACATTTTTCTTTCCACATACAGGAGCATTATAAAGAAACGGTGAGAATGCAGAAAAGCCTAATTTCCATCAGAAGAAAGCTTTCCCATGGGATAAAATTCCAGCTTGGAATGGAGTTCAAGGACATTTGCAGATAGCTAGGCAGGTTATGTTTCCAACACCCTGGTTAAAATTTTATTACTTGAAAATTTATTAACAGACTTTCAGCCAGTCTCTTTTTATTTACTCTTTACTCCCATAAAGTTTTTCTCCCATAATCTGTTTCCGGTCACTTCACTGAAACATGTGTTTGAGAGTTGTCTGAATGCTCTTTGAATGCCACTTTCTGCAATTCTGATCCCTTAAACTCACTGTGACAGGCCCGCTCAGTTTCAACAAACAATATTTCTTCCTCAGCACTTACAGAAGTCATTTCCATGTTGTTCATTTGAGCCTCATGGAAGCCACCATCAGACATTACTTCCTCCTCCGCTTCCTCTTCAGCTGTCGCAACATTTCGGCGTTTAAATAACTGAAGAGAAAAAAGCATTTAATAAAAGCACTACAGAATCAAGAGCCAACATACATACCTCACATGCCACATCAGACTGCAAGAAAAATGATAATTAGCATCTCCTGAGAAAAGCTAGAATACTGACACTGTGACTCCTCTGGACAGTAAACAGGCACAGTTTAGTAACAGATGAAATGAACATGGCTGTGTGCTAGAATATTCATTTGACATTTCTGAAATGTCTTCACTGATATTCCCTCCTTTTCTCTACTGCTCACCCTCCATCTATCAGCTACCTCTAGCTTCCAGACAATTGCTTTCCTCCCTTCCCCAAGATGAGCAGGGGCTCAAAGACACAACAAATTCCTGTGTATAACAGATCCCTGTGGAATACTTACTGAGACTGGAATAACTAAGTTACTGTGGCAGAGTGGACTTTGGGGGATAATCACTTAAGAATGGTTTAAGAAACTGGGATGAACAAAATTTGGACGCTATCGCATAAAGGAGGTAGCCAGTTTGAGATGTTATTAGGAGAGCTACAGAGACTACAGTTTCTCCCTTAAGCTAGCTATCTCACTGCAAGAAATAACAGCAGTGATGAGTAGGGTTAGAGTGTGCTGCTTGGCCTGTCAAGTTCCCTAACGACTCCAGCACTGAACCATGTCAGATTTGTACCACTACAGAGGACAGCCAAGACAGTGCCCCGACATCAACCTGCTGTTATGCTTTTCTCCAGAGAAATCTGGAAGGAAACAGCATGCAAAGCTGTTAAGTCCACATCAAACCCAGTTCACTGACAGGCATCCCTGTGGAGCGCTGCTCCTGCTAGGCTACCCTCCAAAGCGCTCGCCCAAGCTCTTCACACCCTGCTGAAATACAACCCTGTGCCAAAATTCATATGCTGATAATTTGTGTGAAAATTCAGGAACTTGACACTGTTTTTGTAGGGTGGTTTAGCTTTTTTTAAAAAAACAAGCAAACTTTAGTAAAAGGTTAAATGAGTCTTCTCTGTAGGGGCTGAAAATGCAACGCTAAGACAATAAAACAAGGAATAAGAATGTATTTTAAGAATGAATACAAATGGAAATTGGCAAGTCAAAGAGTAAAACAGGTTTCTTCACATAAATCAACAGCTCTAACCAAGAGATGCAATGCTAACTCTGGCATTCTCACTGCTAGTCAAGCATCTCACTGACTTCTCGTGACCAGTGCACCAAATACATATGTACTTTTATACTTTTGTAACTGGACGTTAGGTCTGAAATTGTAACAATAAAGGAACAAAAGAAAAGACTTTGCAGCTTCACTTCCATTGCACTGTAGGTAGGAATAACAGTTTGCCTTAAGGAAATACTACTACCCTTTATTTAGCCATCCTGTGGTAATCAGGTGCAAGGGAGATCAGAGGCACAGATAAGACAGATTTCTACAATGACTCATCATTTTCCTAATTAAGTAGCAGCTTTACAGATAACACTGATGACATTTCGTACTGTCATCTGGAAGTACTGCCTGCTGCTTCTGAGGAAAACAAAACAATTCCAATTCACTCTCAGAATTCTTTCTTGAAACTATCTAGTGTTGACACTGTGAAAAGGACGTTAAGTAGAACAGATTAAAGATTTAACCTGCTATACCAAGCTCAAGAGTGTTACTAGCTTTGATTTAACTCAACATGGATGAAACTAAGCTTCACTCTAACTTTGTTGGAGCCAGTCTCTTAAAGCTTCTAATGAACATAACTAAGAGTAAAAGGAAGGACTGCTCAATGCTACACATTTTTATCAGAAGACTGCTTTCACCATGCCTCATCTCTGCTGCTGTTTCCCTGTTAAACCTGGAGAGAATCCACCACTTCACAATGTGAACATGGTAGTAAGTACTAGCCAGACATGAACAGCTAGGGGAGCTTTGCTTCCAAACATTCTCCTCAAATATTTTGTGCACAATATACAATAATCCACCCTTGCTTGCTCTGCTAGGGCATAAACTTTTGTAGATTCATATATTAACTGAAAATTAAAGACAGAACACTGAGAAGAATTAGATCAATTTATTCTTCCCCCAGTAAAATCATTACTGCAACTTAAAAGGATCTGGTTGGACACACTTCTACGCTGCCATGTTTTCTTCAACCTATTTCATCATTCCTTAAAGATGAGAGCAACCACAACTCAGCTAGCAAAAAATGAAGAATTCCTTCAGTGCAAGGAGAGACAGCTCTGTCGCAACCACCTTTACTGCCAAGCTGCCAATCTCACACTTGAGTGAATGATGAGCACTCACTGAGTCTTGTACTAACCAAAGAAAAGGCAGTAAAGTCTGCAACTTACAGATTTCAGATGGACTGGGAATTTAGCAGGGCAACAACCAAGAGGCTTCAGAGAAGCAAAGAACTAATGACAGTACAAGACAACTGTTACATTTATGACAGCTGTAGTACAGTACCTGCTCCTCTCTCTTTTGCTTACGCAGCTGAAGACCCTCTTCCTCTCGCCTGCGACGCATTTCATCAGGATTCAGGGATTTGTTCTTGTAGCTCTTCAGTCGGAAATTCTCTTTTCCTGAGGTCGTCATGGTTCCTTTAAGTTGCAGTTAAGAGATTCAGTCAGAACAATTACACTTCAGCAACACATCAATTTACATCCTCTCTCTCTCAAACCTCTCTGCGCACTTCCAGCTACTGCCTCCCTATAACTTGTTATTTAACATCCAGTAAATCAGAAGGGGTAAGGCAACTTCACTGTGCCGATTTTTCCACATCAGACCACTCAACTTTTACTTTATTCCTTAGGTAGAGAGATACGAATAAGTGAAATGTTTATCAAGAAAGAACTGAGATTTCTAAGCCAGAAGATACAAGGCTAAGAAGAAAGAAACACTATGATCTATTAGTGCTTCTCCCTTCACAGGATTTATTAATCACTGCATTCAGAACGGAAGTGGCCTTAGCTCCATTTTAGCTTAATTCACTTAGGAAGTCAGAAGCTTTTTTTGCACTTCAAATCCACATTTTAAGTTAATTCAAATCCATCTTGTGTTCCTTCTATCCAGGCAAGACCTACAAGAAAAATGACATGGAGATGGACACGTTTTAGATGAAGGTTTACTACTCAGAAGATCTACTTCTTATCTTGCTCTTCCCTTTTTCCCACACCCCCAGCCTGTAATCCTGTTACTGTTTATACAAAAGAGCCTTTTTAAGCCTATGATTTCCAAGTACCATAATTCATACATAACTTAGTGGATCATCAACTTTAATACGGACCCCTGACAATTTTCACATATCCAATGATGCAATTTGGAGTTACCTAGCATAGACCAACAGTTGCAAAACTGAGAAGAAAGTCTACCCATAAACCAAATGAGCCACAGATCAGTTTCCACCTACAGTCCCCCAGTTTCCTGCTACTTCTCTTATGTCTCCCCATTACGCCCCAAAAACGTTGAGAACAGAATTCTGAAAGTCGCAGTATTTCCATGCATCTTCCCACAGATGTAATATGTGATATGTTATAGCTATCTGAAACTCTGTAACAGAAGATTTAAGAAACAATGCTATGCATAAAGTTATTCCATGGTGCTTTTAAAGGCCTCCTTCCAGTACCCTAATTTGTTACATTACATATGCTACCTACTTCCAATTCCATAAGCACAGAATTACCAGATGACAAGAGATGTGCTGTGCACTTCATTTATACAGAGGGTCAAGTGTAAGCTACTTTCTGTTAACATGAAAAACTTTAAGAGATTTTATACAATATCCAAATGTATTTCTTATTAGAGCTTATTTTTGAAGTTGCTGATGCCTGACAGCCATTTATATAAACTGATGCTTATGAAACATTCCATGCACCACTTCAAGCTAAATGCATTCTGCTAGTTAAAACTTTTACAGGACGCTAAACTACTATACTTTAGATGGCTTGGTCACTGATCATACTGAATGCAACATGAAAACCTGAACATGTAGGTAAGTAATCTAGCAGCCTAGTTCTACTGAAAAAACACTTCCTAAAATGGCTTCTTTTTAAATGGAAATCCTGCAAAAATATGATCTCAGAACTCCAGGAGCTCCCTACGTCATTCTTAGCAACTTAGAGACTATATTCTTCACATTGTTTAGGTGTCTGAGCTTCAACTTCTCATGTTTCTTGCAATATGCTCGGCAATTACATTTTCTTCCTGTTCTGAGGTTTTTCGAATGACTACAACCTCTAGAAATACTATTTGGAGAAATTGTGGGTTTAATTATAGAAAGCTAATGCTAACAAATACTCAGGCTGAGTACACAAAGTTTTTTGTTTTCAGATAGAAATATTTTATATAGTCTAGAATCAAACACCAGATGGAAAACCATGAGCTAAAAGGACACATCTAACCAAAAAAGGTTTTGTAGCCGCACCAGTCAATCTGCCCTACAACACAAACAAGTACAGGCACACACACCATAGCTCAGATAAGATCTCATGCCTCCCATGACAGTATTCACCATTCTGCTTTTCTATCTTGAAACATCTTCCCAAACTCACCAGAGTAAATTTGCCATTATTGGAGGTGTCAGGGCTTCGATAGCTCCTGCAATCATTTAACACCTTCACTTTCAATCCTTAGTTCTCTGCTCATAGAAATCCTTGACATTTATCATATTCAATTCTTACTATTGAATTCTATCTTACTTCTGTTTTGTAGTTCTTCTGTACGATGCTCCAATGTTTCTAAACATCAAGGAGAATCCATCTTTACTGTCAAGTTTCCTTAGCATATTCTTTTTTGTTGTCATTTTTGTCATTCGTGCCTAGAACTTAAGTATTATCTATTTATTACAACCCTTCCAAGCTTTAGCTGTAGCTTTTGGCTATGCTTATTTCTTACCTTCAAGACAGCTCCCTTTGCTGACTGATCAGTGCACTTAAAATCCTTTCTAAATAGCGTACTGTGCTTTACTCTGTAGTAAAGCTCTTCTACAAACTCCCACTAAGCAACCAGGAATACAAAGTTTCTTCTATTAAGAACAGAAACATTTAGTTTCTTTCAGTGTTGAGAAATCGCTGAATTCAATCACTGATTTCACAGTAGTCTCTAACCAGTGACAAATAAACAAAATCCCAACGCACTGCCACATATCTGCCTGCCTAACTTAATCAATCCAAAGATGCTATCCAAAAGCAGCTTCTGCAACTACCTCAGGATGTCCTAAATCTAAAATGCTGCAATTCCTTTATTGGTTCTACGACCACGTTCAGGACATCATCTAGCCCACATCTCCTGACAGCATCCTTACACCTATTCAGTTTTGTTTTTTTGTTGGGTTTTTTTTGTTTGTTTGTTTTTTAAGAGAAAATAAAAGAATCTTATGTCAGTTGCTACAAACATCCAAGAATAGTTTTCCATAAGTATTCCACTTTTCAGGATGTAGGCTTTGCTCCAGACAAAACCAATGAGTCAAAATAACTTCAGACCTTTCCCATCCATCTTCAACAGTTTTTGCTGCAGCTTAACTGAAAATCTTTCAACAACCAGTTCACATTTACCCACTGTGAATTACTTCATAGCAAACAGTAAATCCTGGATCTTCTCTGCACTATCAAAATTAATGCTGTCTGTGATGAAAGTCAATGGTGGTTCTCATGGAAATGTTCTACAGATCTTCTGCCCTAACAATAGAAAAGTATTTTCCACATTTCTGGACACTCCTACAATCTGTAGTTTAAAATCCTCGGTAATCCAATGAGTTTTTATTATGTACTCCTTCACCTTTTGTGCAGTACTACTGAAACACTGCATTACACTTTTTACTTGCTTGTTTTGGCTGCCTTGAAACAAAAAACAAACAACTATTTGTAACAAAATGGAAAACATCTATTTTTTTGGGTGTCTAAGGAAGCATTCCCCAATTTTTTTTGATCAGGACAAAGGCCATACCAAAAGTGGAGGTGAACAAAGAATAGGTTTTCAGGAGATAGGAAAAGTACTGTGTTTCTGCTTGCTGATTAAGTCAAAGAATTTTAGTTTGTACTGGGAAATGCAGTCACTTTATTGCAATGACCTACCTTGTCCCTTGTAATCACCTATATAGGAACAAAACTGAACTCCCTGCCTTCTTAAACCAGATATCAATCATCCGAAGCAGAGACAAAAAATGAACTCTGTCTTCCTAGATCAGATATACTGTCACTAGCCTTAAGAACTTTGCTAGGAGAAATGCCATATGACAAACACTTGGCCATTCCACACGTCAGAAGCATCACAATATAAAGGCCTTGCAAATCAAGACCAGCAGAGATGTATACATAATCCCAAAAGATAACTGAAACTAAGTTTATGAAATGTACTGATAGCAAAGATGTCAGACACTTTTCTTCTTCAGAATGAGGTTATGGAAACAGGTTACCTGAGAACCATATAGCCATACACAAAACTGCACCTTGCAACCCAAATACAGCGGGGAAAGAAGACTTGAAGAGCCTGGAGAAGAGAAATGTTATTTAAGAAAAGTTATCCTGAAGAACCTCGATTAAAGACACCATCACTCCCCTTCTCCTAACTAACAAAGGCAGCTGTCGGCAGGGAAGTATTCACTGGAGGCACAGGTTGTGAGCTCTGTTGGTTTTGTTTTTTTCTTGTCAGACTGCCGTACCCAGTTTACAGAAAAGATGCAAGAGGTACTGTCACCCCTGAAAGGACAGCCTGAGTTAGGAAAAGGGCTGTCAGGACAGAAGGCCAATCACCGAGAGAAGATGTAAGATTTCAAGGTAGGTAAGTAATGCTTTAACTACTCTACAAAACTGCAACTGCTACAGAACCTTTACTTCCGAGGAGATACTGGTTTGTTTAGTGGCTCTGCCACAGAACTCTATACTCCCTCGAGAATTAGCTTCCCCATGGTCATGCTTATCATTCCAAACACAAGAGCACAGCCTGGACAGCTACTCCGCCAATTCACTGACCTCTGCCTACAGGATGCATCATCTCCTGAAGTTCTTTGTGACTGAAAGCCTATCCAATTTAAAGAAACAGCTCTGACAGCAGCATGTAGTTATTCATCAACAGACTGCCTCAGAAGTCCAGCATCTTGGCCACATACACGTTTTTAGCCACAAAGCACTGATTTTGAAAAGAGACTATTTTCATTTTTGCCAGTTCCAAGGCAACAGGTTTAGGATCCTAATAAAAGGACTTTGATATGTGGAAATATATATATATATTTTTAGAAGAAAGAAAAAGTACTGCATTTCTGCTTGCTGATCAAGACACAGAAAACCAGAAAAGCCAGCTTTCTTGTAAATAACAGATAACTTCATAGCACAGACAGGCATAGTTTGCATAGTAAGACCATGAATATACAGTATATGCTGATACAAATAACAGCAAAGGATTAATGCTATTTTCCTGAAAATAACTATCTTTTCTAAGAAAGAGACAAAAAAAAAAAAAAAAAAAAAACAGCCCATCAAGTCCCTGCATTGCTTACAATCTTATCTGAGGAAAAAAAAACCCACAGAAAATCAGCAGACTGACATCTCACTGCCACACCTCCTGCTGTCTGAAAAATTGACTCAATCAAACAAACATCCTACTG